GCCTTGTGGGCCAGACTGTTATCTCCTCTGACCTCACGGGCCAACTTTGGCACGTGGATCAATTACTGTATCTTACTTTTAATGTTTAATTATAACAGTTTTTCCTCCTAATAGTTCTATAAGCTTAAATCTTTCAGAGACAAAACCTTACAAAAATAATAATGTTACAACTTCATAAAACACTTTTAAAAGGATTTTTTTAAATCATTTAGATGCAGTGCACGGGCTTGTTCCACAATTTATGCACAAGAGAGCATTCCTTGTAACTTTTAAAAATAAGAATTAGATGGAATCTTATTATACATTTGAAATCACTAAACTGTTTTCTGCTTTATAAATCAGCTTGATTTTTAAGGTGCAGGAGTGTTTCTTTGAATGTAGTTGGTACCTTCATCTGAGAAACAAAGAGTTTTTGCAGTCTCTGATTCTAAGCAGAGTACCTCATATTTAAAGTTATCAAATATAAATGCTTATAAGCGAATGCCATCTCACAATATTTATCTTTCTCAGTGTTTCATCTATGGTGTTTGTTTTTTAACGGGCTATAAACACAAAGCTGTGAAATGCAGAACTATACCTTTTGCAGCCTAGTGCTATTCATAAGAATAAGCTTGTCTACGGGACTTACCTGCTAGAGTGGTGATTTGTTCTATTTTCAGCACTGCTGGCTGAACCATGCTGAAATAAATAAATAAATAAAGGCTGCAAGCATAACAAACAAGTTAAAGCAATGTGTGAAACCTTATAAAAAAATCCATAAATGGACTAAGACAAGAAAAAAATTTTTTAGAGAGAATACAAAAACAGCAGCAGTCACAAAATAATTTTAGCAAGGAATAGTTGTGAAAGCTTGCCAGAAGATGTCATAGCTGCTCATCAAAAGGCAATCAGTCATGGCGCCTGGCAGGCTTCCTAGACAGGGTGTTGCATTGTCTCTATGTCACCACAGAAAAGGCCCCATCCCTTCTGCCCACCCTTTTGATGCTGATAAGGAAACTGAGTAGTAGAGCTCCATGAGACAATCTTAAGGATCAAGCTGAATTTGATGGGCAAAGACCATTCTTCTATAGTTCCTGGTCATTTAGGGCTTTAAATTTAGCCTTGAAACAAAGTCGTATTCAGCATAGATGACATGAAATTGGAGTGCCATGTTCGATATTCATTGGGGCTTACATGAAGGCATGCATAAATTTGTGGTCCTTTATTATGAGCAGCTTCTCTACACTCCATTTAGAAGGTCGTTTAGTTCTAACTATACTACCCTGTGTTCCTATTTTATTGGTTGACATTCTCTTGTTTTGTTCTGTTTTCAGGTGTTTCATTGTGTACATTTTGAGTGCCCAGCTCAAACTGCTGCCCACAAGGAGGAAGGCTGTGAGGAAGACATGTGCACAAGTGGGCAGCAGCTGGCATCTCGTCCACCTCGAGCTTCGAGTGCCAGCTCTGTGCACTCTCTCCCAGGATCCACTTCACACCCATGAGCTCACCAAGCCTATAAAGAGCGTGAATAAAAGTATTTACGACCCCAGTGCCATGATAAAATTGTTCACCATCTTCTTGTTGTAGGCACCTCTTGTTCTCTGAATGGACAGAGGGGACTGTACTTGGCGGCTGGAGATGTTCAAGTGGAAAAGGCCGCCCAAAGACTTGAGGGGTGGCTTCACACTTTCCATTTTGTTCAAACCAGGATGTTCTCCAGGGGAAAGAAATAGGCTTTCAGTTTTCACCAACTCTCCTATTTACACCCTACCTCTTTAACTGAACCAAATCAGGTTGAATCGAAGGAAACAAACCAACAAAAAGCCGAGCCCAATTGTAACATAAACATACCATGTGAACAGTATGGAAAAGAGATAATTACATGTGCCTGCAGAAGGTACTTCCTAGGAAATGGGTCTTTCCTTAGAATGTTTATGGAAGATAATGTGTACAGAAACCATATTTTTATTTAATTTATTCTTGATCCACATTTCTTTGTAAATTGTAAGCCATTTTCAAAGTCTAAGAACATAAGAGCCTGCTGGATCAGGCCAATGGCCCCTCTAGTCCAGCACCCTGTTCTCACAGTGGTCAGCCAGATGCCTGTGGGAAGTCCAATAAAGGGACATGAGTGCAGCAGCACTCTGCCCACCCATGATTCTCAGCAACTGGTATTCAGAGACATGCTGCCTCTGACAGTGGAAGTAGAACAATAGCCATTGTAGCAAGTTGATAGCCTTATCCTCCATGAAGTTGTCCAACCCTCTTTTAAAGCCATCCAAGCTGGTGGTCATCACTGCCTCCTGTGGGAGCAAGTTCCATAGTTCAACTTTGTGCTGTGTGAAAAAATACTCTGCCCTGAATTTTCCGACATTGAGCTTCACTGGATGTCCACAAGTTGTAGTGCTACAAGGGAGAAAAAACTACTATCTACTTTCTCCACGTCATGCATAATTTTATAATTTTCTATCAAGTCACACCTTACTCACCTTTCCTCTAAACTAGAAAGTCCCAAATGCTCCAAACTTTCCTCACAGGGAAGTCTGTGGGTGTATGTATTGATATACCTATATTATTTGCTTATCCTTTTCCTTTTTTCTTGAAATGCTTTCTTGTTTATCATTCTGTATCATATAAATATATCTAATAGTGGTAGGCAATGTGATAATTACTCCATTTGACAAGGAAAAACCCTTAAGGAGGTCATGCATAAAACAATTCAGTCCAAGGATGCTGTATTGGAATTCTGACTATTTGATATGAATAACAAAATTGTCACTTTTTACTCCCATATAAAACTGTCCATCAGGTTCTCAGGTGCAGGAAGAATTATTGGCTACTTTAGAAATTACTAAATCATTCTTTAATTTCTACATCAACTGATTTCCAACATCTTTTTTGTGTGCTTTGGAAAACAGAAATGTATCTGACCAACATTTCAGCTGGATTTGGTATAAATCAGAGCCGGTGGTACAATTCTGGCAATTTATAGTAAAGGTTTTTTGTTTTGTTTAAAAAAGATTATACTATTCCATTGGGGATTTTAAAAAACCCACTTCTAAGAAGCTTTTCACATAATCTCCATAAATACAGATTTGACTTTTATAGTTGTATTTGGTATGTGTGTTAAGTAATTTACAACTCAGTAGTAGCTATCCTTTGTAACTTAATCAGATTATTTGTTTGATTATTCGGAGTGTGTTCACATGCAGCATTCCTCACATTCAATTGTTTTACATCCTGCTGCATTTCCTGGAGTGAAAGTGGCTATGCATTTACGCACACATGTCAATGCCATCGACCCATCTAATTAGGGGGGGAAAGATGCATTTGTCATGAAGTATGTGACTTTGGAGAATATTATTATTGTCAACTTGTGGTTGTTGTTTTTTTAAGTGGTGTAATATAGTTTGATGCAAATTGTTTGCTTTGACCATGGTGTCCTATAAATAACATTGTTGTCACAGTGCTTAAGCTTAAGTGCTTGCATTCTACTGAATGCTGTTTGTAATAAATGTGGGAAGGAATAGACAGCATTGTGGCTGCAAAGCAGTAAAAGAAAATGACTTCTAAGTTGGCCATGACTCATCTTCAGTTTTTCTTGCTTTTGGTATTTCATCTGCCATTATCTAAACCAAGCTTGCAAGAGTACTGCAGTGTGAAGTGCAATGCAGGTACATAGTGACCAACCTTTGGAGGAAATCAGGAGATTGGCAAATGAATCATAGAAATGTAGAGCTGGAAGGGACTCCAAGGGTCATTAAGTCCAACAAAAGCAATCTCAACTAAAGCATCCATGATGGGTGGCCATCCAACCTCTGCTTAAAAACCTCTGTTTGACTGTTGAACAGCTCTTAGTGTCAGAAAGTTCTTCCTGATGTTTAGTCGGAATCTCCTTTCTTGTAACTTGAATCCATTGGTTCGAGTCCACCCTCTTGGAGCAGGAGAAAACAAGCTTGCTGCATCTTCCATGTATCAACCCTTGAGATATTTGAAGATGGCTATCCTATCAAGTGAAGAAAGCATCAGATTCTTCTGCCAGGGCAAAGGGCCTGGAAGTACTCTGTAGCTATTGTGACAACCTTCATTCATTTCACTCTTGTTCCACAGGTTTTCCAACTCTTACTCTAGTGCTGCTCTGATTGTTGGATATGTAGGGAGCTCTAGATATATTGGCTAGAAGGCATCAGCTAACATAGCTTGTAGATGAACTGTAGTTGGAGAACAGAAAAATAAGACAAAGATCCGGGAGAGAATGTGAATGGTCTCTTCCTGCCCAAATAAATTATTATTGTTGATAATAGGTGTTGAGCAGTGAAGAAGTGCAGCCTCACTTTTAAATAGCCTTGTGTCTGTCTTTTCTTATTTTGAATGGGGATAATCTAGATTCCCCATAAGTTGTTTTTGATTTCTCTTTCCAAACAGTCAGTCAGTATATAGCACATGCGCGTAAACTGAGGAGAGTGCCAGAATTCCCCACTTTGGAATGGGGGTGGTGAAATGTTTGGATCACTGTTGTGAACAGTAAGCAATAAGATCAACCTTACCATCTATTATATCAACCTTATAATATTTTAGCTTTTGACTTTGCCCTTTGCCTCACTCAGTTGTGTGTTGTTGTTATTAAAGTTCTAAATAAATCACAAGCTTGATTGTAAGGCTATTAATAACTTTTTAAAGACAATGCAAGAATTCAAATAAATCATAACTGATAACAGCCTAATCTTCTAGGCAGTAAATACAATTCTGCATACTGTTTCTCCTGCCTTTTAGCCCCCTCTTTGATAATGATATACTTCGTCAAGCTCCCTATGAAGGATGTTGATACCATATTTCCAAGTGTTTGAGACAAACCTCTTTTTAAGAGTCTTCCACAGAGCATTCCTTAACCTTGGGAATGGCCTCCAGAAGGCATCTTAAAACAGAAATTCATGGTAAGAAAAATTCCAATGTTTCCCCCACTGATATATCTGACATAGAAGTTACACACTTATAATGACTCACACTGTTAGCTCATTTTTCTAAGGACCAACAAAATCTGTATATAAATTGTCATCTGTAATTCCATACCATAACCCGGCGTGGCTCGACAACTTGGGGCTGAACCCTGACCCTCCAGGATTCCATGTCAAGTGTTGGCAGCTGAAAAGTTAAAAAAAAAAAAGCACATTGTTCAATCACAGCCAGGGGTCTGTGGGAGAAATCAGTAAAATTATTATTATTAATAATATTGTTAATATTAATATTATTTAAGGATATTTTGGGGAGACACAAAAAATCTTTTGGGCATTACAATGGAAACCTATTGGAGCAGAGATTACAAAAATGAATAAATTTGGAGGGGTCCGGGATTCACAAAGAAGCTTTTGACAGTTTTCAATTTTGAGTGTCACTAGTGTGTATTTTATGTTTTAATTTTTAATATTTTTTCTTCAGTTAGAAATTTGAAGGTATTCCTCATCAGGACATGGAAACAATGCAACTATACTGCATTTGTAGCTATAAAGCTTTTTGTAGCCTCCATCCACAAAGTAGCATGTGCATCTTAACACAGACTCCTTAAGCTGCTTTTTAACCACATCCCACCCACGCTTTAAAACTGTGTAGTGATTAGATATGAGTTTTTCACAGAAGAAACACATACACACTGCTGTGACTTAAGTTGCTTTCCTATTTTATCTCTCTTTGTGTGGGGTATTCAGCTGTGTTGCTTGCAGTATCCCCTAGAAATACCTGACAAAAATCCCTAAACATTTCAATGACATCTTGGGTTAAGGACAGCCACCTTGACACACATCCCTCCAGGAAGCTGTTTTGGGGATTTGTGTTCTAGAGGCAGACCTGGCTGAAGACAGGCCAGTCAGATCTGCACTTGTAACCCCACCCCCTTGCTTGGCCATGATAGGCCAGTTTAAAGTTCCTGGGTAAATCCTAACCATCCTAGTGGCCAACAGAGGAGCCGACATCATCCGTTGGCTGTGCTGGAAGCAGGAGACCACCCAACCCCTGACCTCTGATGGCTCAGCCAGGCCACAGCCACTGCTTCCGAGCCATGATGGTAAGCGGTCTTTTCTTTCTTAAAACTGCTAGGAAACTGAACAGAGAGTACTCAATTCTTTTGTCAAGTCATAGTCAAACTATCACAACAAGGTGCTTCTGAAAGGTTTGTTTAGATTTCTGTTAAACTTGTAGGGGTAGTATACAGATTTGGTTGCTTTTAAAGAGAAAAATAAATGGTACAATTTAAAGAGCAGTTACCGTATTTTTTGCACCATAACACTCACTTTTTTCCTCCTAGAAAGTAAGGGGAAATGTCTGTGCGTGTTATGGAGGGAATGCTTGCAGGTGGCATGCCTACGGATTTTCCTCCTCTAAAAACTACGTGCGTGTTATGGTCAGGTGCGTGTTATAGAGCGAAAAATACGGTAGGTATGCTGACTGCTCTGCAATCTCCTGAATTCCCAGCCCAGTGCTTTAGTACAAACCTAGAAATGCAAGAAGGAATATATTACAGAGTTAAGGTGCATAGTTTGCACAGCAAAATACTGTCTGTCCCTATGTAGGCTGTAGGCTGACCACATCAGTTGTGAAGACAGATATGTGCATCAATGTCCAGTAGCAACAGGACATTTAAGTAATGGCACCCTGTCCCTCCCCAAAATCACCAAATTAGTATATGTTAACCATCCTGAACCAGATTGTAAATAACATTTCCATGTATTTGGTTTAAAGACAGTTTAGTATATTTCATGGAGACTTAGCAGCCATGCAATTTTCCTAAGACAGTCAAATGCTATTTCAGAAAGTGCTTATGCATTTGTATGTATGTAAGGCAACCCTATTGCCACAGCATTGCCACATTCTTAGAAATGCAAATTTTCAGTTTTCAGAGGATTTGGGTAGCGAGAAATTCCTTACTGGCCTTTTACATTACGCAGATGCTAATGACTTTTCAAGGCTCTCATTAATCTAGAGGGAAATCTTGACCTTATTAATTTCACTGGGCGACATGCAATTAATTGTGATGGGTCCAAAATTTCACACCCATTATAATTGGCAATTAACATGATTATAAATGCTAAAGCAAAATAGTTTCAAAATTGGTACCTATAACTGATTCACCAGTGTGTCCTGGTGCAAAGCTTTTAGGAAGAATCTTCAAAAATAATTCTATAATAACTGGAGCCCAATAGCAAAAGTTACATTATACATGTGAACATTACTGTTTGACTTGCACCAATTATTTCTGTTTGATGTGAAGCCTGCAGTGTTCTGAATATTTGCTGCATGTGAAGTAGTTCAAAATGCAGACAGACACTGACCAGGATTGCACGATGCAGTAAGCCAAACCGCCCTGAGATCTTATGATGAAGGGCAGGCAGTATATAAATTTAATAAATAATGAAATAATAACTACTTGCTGACTGCTGAGGAGCAGATCGCAGCTGCTTTGCTCCTCCCTAGGCTTATTAAAACAGCAGCTAAGCCAAGGTTTGACTTGGTATCATGACTGGGGTCATGTGTAAGGTCTAACTTCTATAACCACGACCTGTAACCATAGGAAATACCTTTGCTACAACTTACGGTTAGTAAGGAGAGAACTTAGCAATAGGTCGTGGAGCAGAAGGCACACTAAACCAAACCTTGGCTTGGCTCAGTATGTCACAGCAGTAAAAAGAACCAAAGAGAAAAAAAGTTAGAGAAATATCCTCCTTGGGGAGCCCACAGAGTCCCACTGTCTTGCTAAGCCACAACTTGGCTTACTGTGTTGTGCAGACCAACTCAGTACAAGAGTTTCAAGGGGAGCACATTAGAAGCAAGCACGGTGTATGCTGTGAAATGTGTTGCAAACATTACAGCTTCTAAGTAACCATTTTGTGTGTCTGAGAAAATAGTGTCTATGGATGTGATCCTGAGTTATATGATCTTATTCAAATCTGGAATTTGCCTAGCTATTTCTGTTCCAACAGTTTGCACTGCTGAAGAAACCATGTACTTTTTCAACTGAACAGTGGCTCATCTTTGGTAGGAGAACAGAAACAGCAAGTGCATTTCTGTCTGGGTTCGTCACAGGCACAGCTCAATTCTTTGGATCACAGCTTATATCTGCAGAAAATAATCTTAAATGACATTATCAAAGGGCATCTTGCAAATCTGTTGAGTAAGAATTGTGTGGTATCCTAGGGGAGGATTTAGCTTTTTAAAAACTTTAATTTTAAAACATCCCAGTAGGAAAAGAGGCTTTAAAAATTATTAACCGAATGAATGCAAACTGACAGCTGCAATGTGTTGGATCTCTGGTGGGACCGTGGAAATTCTTGCCATGTTTCCACACGATGACTACAAATTTCATCACATGGCAGTTCACTTATACGTCACTCAGAATTAATTACTTCTCGTATTTTATTTCTCTAACATATGTGAGCAATGGCTAAGGGTAACTCATGAAGAAATGGTATACTTTTGAAAGGTTCCATTGCTGACATTAATCATTATTATCCCACTGTGTATCCAGCAATAGCCACATTTCCATTCTATATCAGTTTTTAAGTGTGTTATTTATAGCTATCAGATCACTGAGTTGTGTCCATTACTGGAGAGGTCTGGGGCAACAGTTCAGATTACATCAGATGAAATACTACAGCTGGTGACTAAAAACCATGAAAGTGGGGGAAAGAAGGGAGGGCTCTTCCAGCTTGGTTAAGAGGTAAAGGAGCAAAGAGCCGGAGGCAATGTTTAGCGGGTAGTGACGCTATTAAAAAAACCCACTTTTGACCTCTCCCTTGAGTTGCCACCAATACTTATTATAATTATCTAGTATTTAAATTACCATGTTGGTAAATGGATTTTGCAAGATCCCATTCAATGCCATTGGGGAGGATGTGCTTTGAAAACCCTTTGATTTTTTTTAAGCTAGCATCTTAAAACCTTATAATTAATTGGTTACACAAGGACTGGTTTGATATACCAAACAAGCTTGAAAACCTGCTTTCGAGTCAGTGCTCTGTGCTAGCCCTATCACTAGGCAGAGTGCAGTGATTGTTTCAGGCAGCTGACCTGAAGTGTCACGAAAAGGGTAGGAAATAGTTATTTAGTTTGTTACTGTTGTTGTTGCCTGCCAGGAGCCTTACAGAATTTTCTGCCTCAATAACTTGTCTAGTCTTCTATATCATGCACCCGGAATTAGAGCAGGGCAGTGCTGGTGCATCAACTTATGCTCTGTACCAGGCAGCAGAATGTTTGGGGTTGGTCCTGCTCTATGCCAGTAGGATGAAAATAGATGTGTAATGATGAAAAGCTAGGCATACAAAGTAGCTATTCTGGAGTCTCAAAGGGAGAAAGTATGTTTAAATGCTACTAGCACAACTCTGAAATTCAAAACAGAATACAACCATACCTCGGAAGTAAAACACCTTACGAGACAAATGTTTTGGCTTCCGGACACCACAAACCCAGAAGTGATTGTTCTGGTTTGCGTACATTCTTTGGAACCCGAACGTCCGCCGTGACTTCCAATTGGCTGCAGTAGCTTCCTGCAGCCAATCGGAAGCTGCGCCTTGGTTCTCAAACGTTTTGGAAGTCGAATGGACTTCCGGAACGGATTCCGTTCGACTTCCGAGGTACAACTGTACTGGTGAAATGCCATGAAATCGACAGAAAGGAGGAAACAGAATGAGCACCTGTCAAGGGCAAGAGTAGTTCTGCTCTCGGAAATGAATTGCAAACACACCCATCACACTTTACTGGACCAGTCATGCTACCACTTTGAGGGGCATGCAGCAGTGTCCCTTTTTATAGGGGAAACATTGAAGTGTGCTCAAGAAATCATTTGGCCTTTTTCCTGTGGCCAAAGTGTCTTGTGAGGAGTGCAACCCCTGCCCTGGATTTAATTTTTTTCAGTCATGCTAATGCAAATATATGGACTCTATGCCTTTCTAGATTCCAGTTCTCATCATCCTTTATCATTGGCCTTCCTGGCTGAGGCTGGTGGGAGATGAGTCCAGCAACATCTAAAGGCTAACAGATCCCCTGCCCCCATTCTAACAAGTCAGAGAGACAGAACCCAACAACTGGATCTGGCATTTTATTTAGTTGTAGTAACAGGGACAGTGCTAGCAAATCCAGAATTTAGACCAATTATTTTCCTTGTATTGACAAAATGAAGTGTGTATGGTGGCAGGACTGTTGGTAAAGATGAACTATATTGATTTCAATGTGGCTAGGACCTAATATATCCTGAAAAGAATTCTTCTAGTTAACAGGTTCCTCTTTTCATCCTATGTGGCATGGTGACATTTATAGTTTAGAAAGCGCACCCAGGCTGTTTAACAAGTCACAAAGCTTAGTTATGCATTCTTGTCCATCTTACCATTAATTTATGGATCTGAATAATCTACACTGTGTTATAAAAAGGACAGCAATGAAAGTGTGTCTAGAGCCCTGGAGAATTGTATTAGCATAATGTTCCCGAACTCCCAGAACGCTCTCTTATCAGTCTGTCCCCACACCTAACTGCTTCTCATTTTCTCTTTCCACACTTATTGCTCACATTCTTGTCCTCCTTCGCTCCACCTGCTCTACCTTCAGCGTTTGATCATATTTCCTATTTGCTTTTCTGAAAGATGATGACATTATGGAAATTTGGCTCTCCAGCTGTCTGTCCTACACTTGGGTAGTGTATCTGTCCTGTGCCTCCTAATTAAAAGGAAAACTTTTACCAGAAATACTCAAAGCTAAATATGATTAGTTCTGAATCTTTGCCATCAATTGAGCCCCTGTCAACCTTCCGGTTGTATCCTGCCCTGCCCTGTGCTTTTGATTTCTCATCCACAAACCAGTCAATTATACATAATTAGCTGAAGATCTATGCAGTATCAGACTGGGGAGGGGGGGTGGCATTATAAAGAACTGCATCCAGCATCATTTCTTCCACTACAGTATTCCAATGGGCTTCTCTGAAAGCTGCCTTGGAGTAAAGCAATTTGGGGAATAGGAATTGCGCTGAGCATTTGTTTGTTTGTTTGCAAGATTTCTCATCCATGCTCCATCATAAGGTCACAGGGCAGCTTACAACCATAAAATGCAGTTACAGAAACAAATAAAACAAATTACAGTTATAAAAACAAGTAAAACAGCTTCAAGTGGAACCCAGCAGTATATATTCAGCAAAAGAAGTGGGTCCCACAAAAGAGAAATGCCTTAACTGTCAAAGACCAGGGTAAAGAGATGCATCTTCACCACAGGACAAAAGCTGTACAATTAATATACTAGGTGTGCCTCTGGGGAGAGTGTCAAAATTTAGGGGCCACTGGATCAGGCCAACAATGGCGTATCTAGTCTAGTATCCTGTTCCTTCCGTGGCCAACCAGATGCCTGTGGAAAACCTGCAAGCAGGATTCAGGTACAAGAGCACTATCCCCTCCTGGAGTTTCCAGCATCTGATACTCAGCTTTACTGCCTCTGGCCACAGAGGCAGAGCATAGTAGCCATTGGTGGCCTTATCCTTCATGATTTTTTTCTAATCCTATTTCAAGGCCAGCCTCATGTGGGAGCGAGTTCCATAGTTTAACTGTGTGCTGCGTGAAGGACCTTCTTTTATCTGTCCTGAATCTTCCAACATTTAGCTGCACTGGATGTCCACGAGTTGTAGTGTTATGAAAGAGGGAGAAAAACCTTTCTCTATCTACCTTCTCTATGCCATGCATAATTATATAAGCATCTATCATGTCACCTCTTACTTGCCATTTTTCTGATCTATGAAGTCCCATATCCTCGTTGCATACTTGGAAGTTTGGGGTTGTTTCCCTGTTGACACTCCTGAACACAAACCTGCCCCTCAGCTGAAGTTCGTGCAGTTTGTACATACCATATGTAATGAGTGTGGTACTTTGGCTATGAAGCTGTGGCCCCTCCAAACATTGTTGAATTCTAACTCCCAACAATCCAGCCTCAAGGCCATGGTCAAAGATAATGGACGTTTCAGTCCAACAGCATTGAAGGGCCTCAGGTTTCTCAACCCTGTCCTTAAAATTTCCCAGCTTTTAAGAAACTCCATTCCCCTCGATCATTTCAGTTCTGTTTCTTTTCCCACTGTGCTTTCTCCAGCTCTACAATATGATCTCCTTCCCTACTTTGCCCTGCCATCATTCCTTAACGTATTCAGACATGTCTGATGTACACTCTGATCAAAGTCCTTGTTGGTCAGTTCCAGTGGGCCATACAGAGTTCTCCACTTACCTCTATCAGTGGTTCTCATTCCTGAGATACTTTCTGCCTTTCCCTGCTCACCTCAGACTACTTACCAAGTCATGACTTTTTGCATTGACTTTGCTTCCTGCTTCCCCCTTATATAATAAATTGGTTCACTTTACCTACTCTAAACTACCTCAGATCACATTGTGAACACAGATGGACTGAAACTCAAATACCTGGATGATGAGAGAACCTTTTTTGCTCTTCAGACACCACTTGAGCTCTCTGTAATACCATTAGTTTAAGTAATTAACTGTGCAGATAAACTTGATGCGACTGTAGGCTCATCCTGTCATTATCTACCATTATAGTGGTGCCTTTTTCAGCTGGCACTTTGCAATCCAAGAAGCATAGCCCCTTGTGTCCCGCCTCCCCAGATTCCTCTCTATTTTAAAGCAAAATCACTGTACTGGTGCCATCTTTAACTGAAAACCATTTACAAATTGCCACATTAGTCCTCAATGCCTGGCTATTTAAAAGAGCTGTGCATCTGTACTTAACTGTGCCTATTGTGTAAGAACACTTCTCCCTACAGCATGCTGTGATTACACTGCTGACCTATTTTGTACTATAGCATTATCTGCATCACCAGCCATTTTGACTGGCTAGATTGATTGGTTCTGTATTGTGGGTCTTTCTGTTCTTTTCCCCTTCTCTTGTCTGGCCTTAGAGAATGTTCATGTAAGTCAGTGGACCTCTCTATTTTGAAACGGGCTGCTTTGAACATTCACCACCAGCAGAGATAGCTTTACTAAGCAACTAGTTACCCTGCAATTCTTATGAACTTTTAGGAAGTGGGAAAGTTCCACAGATGACACCCTCAAAATTGTCCTTTTGTAATGTCTGCTGGTGTTCAGATGAAAAATATGCAGGGCTGCTGTGCTGGTATGAGACAGTCTAAGCATGCTACCAAAATCTGTAACAGTTTCTCATAAAAACAAATAAAAAAGGATGAATAACAAAATTTGGAAATGGGAATGATCATTCTCAGGTTTTTTGGGAGGCGGGGAGCAGAAAGAGACCACTGAAGTCCCGAATCACTGCCAGAACGAACAATGTTATGAGCAAATGTGGAAAAGATATTATATTCTTTGCATTTATTTCATATGAGGTTTCTTTGCATTGTAATATGTAATGTAAGGTAAAAAATAGATATCACATATTGGAAATTAGGTGTGCACCTTGTATAGATGATGTGGCTGTGGTTTTAGGAATAAACTTGATATTTTGTGCTTAACTCCTGATCTTTCTCTCTGCCTGTCTTTTTAACAACCAGCGCACACAAACGGTGCCATATGCTACCATTTGGTAGGGCAGAAGTCCAGATCAAAGTCAAGGCCTTTGTTCTAATACAGAATTTTAAGTACCGCTATCAGAAGGTGGAATATATCTGTGCTTTCATTGCCCCTTTTACTCCCTGCAGGCTTTGCAGAATGGTAAATATATGGCAGGAAAAAGGGGGGAAATTCTAAATGCATCAGTCAGTACAGGCCTATCATTAGACAAACGGAGGCAGATCAGCTCCACCTTTGCCACTTGCTATACCTCTGGCCACCCATCCTGCAAAACTCTTATGCGCCTTTCGTCCTCCCCCTCCATGCTGTGTTGCTCTGAGGAAAGAAGACTCCTTCCTCAGAGTGAAGCATTCTGGGCAAGGTAGCCAGGAACAATACCGTTTTGACTACTACTACTTTGCTTCTGTGGCTAGAAGTTCTGGTTTGAAATTAGTTGTGATAATTTCCAACTAATAGCTAAAGAGTTTATGGGTAAGCAGGGAGGCAAGGCAGCACGGAAGGGAGAGGACGACTCAGGGGCAGCAGAGCCACCCACCTTGAACAGGGCACTGTTTTGCTCTGACCCTGGCCTCCACAACCGAGGAAAGTGCGTTTGGCTAACAGAAAAGCAGGAATATGTTTAGAAATGCTGCCGGGTAATGACACTGTTTTAATTATGGAATGCTGTCTTGATCTGAATCTAGCATAGCTAGTCAGCCCACTCCAGACACTATAGTGTTATTATATGAGAGGGCAGCAGAAAACAATGTGCTAGCTTTGCCCCCTTGTTGCCATTCTCACTGCCCTCCAATTCACGGACAGCAGACTTGCGAAATTCACTCGTGGTGGAATCTGTGGTGTGAATTCATTCCATCAGCACAAGCATTTTACTGTTGGTTCTCTTGATCCCACAAAAGCAGTGGGGGGAGGAGACTCCCATTGCACAAGCAGAAGTCCTAGTGCAGGGTTTCCACTGGTGAGATTCATTAGGTGAATCCTGCCCTGCACATTTAGATGAAATGAGAGCTGATAGATTGGCTAATTGGGGGAATACAGTCTTGACGAGGAAGTATGACCAAGCAGTCTTGTGATGAGACATCAGCTTTATATTCCAACACAAAGCACTCTTTTATTGCTTGTTTGTAATTCCAAAGGGCAAAACTATTTATTTTAAGCAGGTGGCTGCTTGAATCTTAGAAGACTATCACATCCTGTCATTTGAATGCTGCTTAGAAAGGTTGAAGGGGCAGAGCTACTCAAAAGCACAATTTTACCTTCCAGTTTGGAACAAAATTTAACTCAAATGGTGATGTTAAAGGGAGCTACACATACTTAATGTAGTTTACTCCACCTTCTGGGAGACTGCAAAAAGCTAGCATCTTCTCTGGCAAGAGAACGTGGCTGCCCTTCAATACAATACAAGGCACAGAAATCTTACAAACAGGGAGATCTTCTTGTGCTCACAGTGGCCCACAGGCAGTAATAGCAGAGAGGAAATGGGTCTGGCATATTTATGTATTTAATTATTAAAAATAATTAAATACACAATTTAATAAATTTTAGAACTTTAAAACAGAACTGCCACATAATAAAACAGCAGATAAAATTGCACAAGATCAGCAACAGCAGCAAACCAAATCTAGTCGACATAGTCAAATCACCATAATAGGTGCTGAAAACTCATCAAAGTTGGTGCCAGCCTATACAAAGGGTTAACCCTCACCCACCCACCCCTCCCTGTGCTCTAAATCTTCCTTACCCTCTGATGGCCATTTTTAACCAAAGGAAAAGGGGGGTAGATTCAAGGATCTAGTTTGTCCCTAAGCCATTTTATTTTTATTTTATTTTATTTTATTGGTCTGGAATGTGCAGCACTAACTACAGCACTTTATTGTCCTGAAGGTGTTTTCCTTCTTGAGAACTAGTGATTGATTGATTTATGAGCCTGCAAAAAGGAAAGAAAGAAAGAAAAGACTGCCACCGTTATCAGGCCAGAGTGTAGAATATGGTTCTTCCTGGCCTTTAAAGAAAAGAAATATAAAAAGAGTTCAGATGGATTAGGTCATTGGTGAATCTACTCTAGCATCCCATAGTGCAGAGTGGGCAGCCACAGGTCTACATGTGAAGGCAAAACCCCTCCCCGCCCCCTGCATGTTGTGGTCCAGAACAGGTTGGACTGGCAGCTTACAATCTAGCTAAACAATTCCCTTCTGTTCTGGATGGTTTCTGGGTGTGAAGGGGTTATTAAAAGTATAATATTGGAATGATATGAGTACCAAAATATTGCTCTCAAGGATGTCTAGCACACCATGCTGTCTGGAGAACTGTTTATTACATAGGGGCTATTCCAGCCTGTTCAGTTCAGTTCTGGCTTTTCAACCAGGGTTGTTAAGTTAATAAGCTCCTCCTCTTCACATACGTACCATTCAAACACCTGACAATATTTATCAATAACTAATAAACATATTCTTAATACAGCTTTCCTGTTAATTCAACCAAAGCAACATCTAACCATTCCCAAAACAAGTAACTTCCATTGCCTTAAAAGGAGCCTCTAATTGATAGCTTGATCCCAGCATATCCCTGCAGACTTAAAGGTTAATGGACTCTGCCAGCCTTGCTAAATTTCCTGGGGCAAATTTTCTCTCTCCTTGGGCCAGGCTGGACTGCTGGCATCTTCTGAAAGCAGCCTGCCCATCCTGGAATGCTACCTACTGAGCATGCTCCAACAGATGCCTCCTCTGGCAGGGGGAAGAGGAAGCGTCATTGCCACAGCTTCTACTGGGAAATACTGACATGCTGGATTTCTGTTCAATATTGCTACTAACAAATACGATGACAGCAGCCTGGGTGACACAAACACAGTGGAGATTGGTGCATGTGTTGCTATTAATATATAGATATAAAGAACAGAGTGGAAGACTGCCCAGGGCAAGGTTGAAGCTCTCAACTGGCAGCTTTATAAGTCCATTCGGTTTAATGAGGCATTAAATTATCATTGCATCATTGGGACAAATTAACATAATTGATGTCAGCATCGGAGTCTGAAGAATGACTTGTATCAAGCCGTTTAATAATCCAAACATATTAGATGTCTGTCTTAAGTAATGGCTGGGCTGGGCTGGGGGTGCACCAGGCTGCCCCTCTTGCAAAAAATGCCTTTGCTTTTGGTGCTGCGCTGCTGGAAGGGTGCCCAAAATCCACCCCATTGCAAATCATGTGGCAGCTGACGGCTGGGAAGCCAAGATGCATTGCCAATTAGGGAAAGGGCCCCCAGCCCCTTCCCTCAAGGAGACGGTGCAAGATGTGTCCTTGCGGGTGCCTTCTCCCAGGTTTCAATGTCTTGTGGGACAGGCCTTCCATCACTCCTCTTAAAGCGACAGTTCCACAGCCTAATACATCTCACTAATGGCAGCTGTATCCTGACAGGCATCTATTAATGCAAAAGAAACAGTTAGGCCAGGCAATTCTTCAGAAAGTGCTCTAGCTCAGTTTTGTGTTGAGGCGGCATTCGTGGCCTCAGGATGAGCCTGATGTGATGGTCATGTTACTTTAAAGTGCAACTTCTCCAGGTTTTTGTAGGCTTCTGGTAAAAGGAAATATTGTATGTGAGGAGCCCCCCCCCCCCACTCCTCTCCCCACACAAACTACACTCCAAGGAAGAGAGAAATAATGCTACTGCAGAGCATATAAGAGCAGAGAAGCATCAGATTTTTCAGAACTGTCACAAGCAGGATTCTGTTGGCTTGTTCTCATAGCACTGAGGCCCTTCTACCAGCTCCATGTAACAAATGGGCTTCCCAAGTATTTAGGACTTTTATAATGTGGGTTGTTTCATAGCCTTGAAAATGAAGACACTCTCTGGTATTCTGAACATAGGGCTCAAAGCATTGACCTTTCCCATTCTCATCACTGCTGTGATGGGGGTGATGATTTGAACCTCTCATGCTGTCCCCAGAATACATCATACTGGGATTCAGCTATGAAAGTCAACACTGTGCCAACAATGGCAAGCCCCAAATAAACCCATCCCACAGCTTACATGCTGTAGAACAGGGACTCCCAGCTCCCATCATCCCCAGCCAGCATGGCCAATGATAAGAGATTATGGGAGCTGTAGTCCAACAACAACTGGAGAGCATCATGTTGGTTGTCCCCAATGCAGAATGTCCTCTCTAACCCACACTGTAACCTGAACCAGTCTTAATGACCCAACTGGCACGTAATGTGTGCAAATAGTATTGAACTTGGAATGTCACTGTTCACCATACAGTTTTCACCTTCCTGTGTGCTGAATGAAGAAGAGGATGAGTTTGGATTTGATATCCCACTTTATCACTACCCTAAGGAGTCTCAAAGCGGCTAACAATCTCCTTTCCCTTCCTCCCCCACAACAAACACTCTGTGAGGTGAGTGGGGCTGAGAGACTTCAGAGAAGTGTGACTGGCCCATGGTCAGCCAACAGCTGCATGTGGAGGAGCGGAGACGCGAACCGGCCACCTTGTGCTGAAGCAATAGTGTGAATAGCCCTGTCACTTGGTGGATCCTGTACTCTTCTCTTGAAGACTTGTGACCTGTCATTCTAGCTAATTTTATTCCTAACAAGTCAGGGTGTCCAATCTTAGCAAATGACTCCAATTGCCCATCCTTGCTGATGAGAGTTTTAGTCTGAGGCCATTAAGAAAAGCCCTGCAGTCTCGTCTGGTTTCCTTAAGGAAGAGACATCCCTTTGCCCACTTTCCTCTCCCCCTTCCCTGCCTTGTCCCTCAAACTCCTTGCATTCTTTTCCACAGACATATTACCCAAGTGCAACACAGATGATGAGGAGACCCTTTGTGTGATGGATTTTTGTTTTTATCATAAAAGCTCTAAAAACAGAGCATTTTGGCTCACTTAATCATTTTGACAGATGACAATACTAAGTACCATTCCCAGACAGATGACACTCGACGGCTGACAATACTAATCCTACAGCAGCTTCTCAGGGGAGATACTTATTGTAAAAATTGACATCTATTGCACCCGGATGCTCATAACCCATTTAGCAACGCTGTGTTGTGCAGCATCACTCTTGACTCAAGGTTTCTGCTGCTGCTGAGTTTGGGCTTTGGCAAAACTGGCAGATCCTTTGTGTCAGCCGCCTCTCTGAAAAGCAGCTGAAATTGTGATGTATAGGGAAAGCACAGATGTTTGCTTAATGGTTATTTCCCTGGGGACTTCTGTTAAAGTTACTGGCAGCAGAGAAGCGTGTGTGTGTGTGTGTGTGTGTGTGTGTGTGTGAGAGAGAGAGAGAGAGAGAGAGAGAGAGAGAGAGAGAGAGAGGTGTGACAGTTAGCCATACATTTATTTTGTGCAAGAACATTGCAGAAGAAGCAGGGGCAGATACAGACTAACCCAAATGGCCCTGAAATGGATCATGCCTCGATTTTGGCTCACTGGAAGGAACTGCAAAGCTTTGACTGACTGTGTTGGACTACAGGTTAATCAGATCTCTGGCGTTATTCGTGCCTGATGGGAAAATATAGTGGAATGTATTTTTTAATGTACATTAAGCAACTCAGTTTGACGAAGGGTCCAAAGCGTCTTGGAACTAGTGTCAAGCACTAGTTGGTATAAAAAGTTGAAGGTCCAATCCTGATGATATGCATAAATATGCATTACAGTGATTATTGCAGTCGGTCCAGAGCAGCAAACAAAGTGTCCTCCAGGCGACATTGGACTCATCAGCCTAGCCAGTGTTCAGAGATGAGGGAAGCTGTAATCCACCAACATCTGGAGGGCCCCACATTGGCTACACCTGCAGTAACAGTGCTAGCCTATGTATATAGGGTTCTGCTGAAAGACAGTCTTAAAAATCTGATATAGGATTTCAACATCTCTTCAAGCTCCTGTAGAAACTGCCCACAACTGTCCCCCTTCCATTTCTGAGGACTCCTTTTCACATGCATGTCTACTGTCTAATGACATCAGGGGTTGACTTACATGAGTGAATTGGCCACGAGAGATCTAACACCATGCACAGAACTTCCATATTGCTGCGTTGTCACAAACACAGCGGTCACTCCCCTGTAAGGTTCATCAGTTTCAAACAATGGAACTTGGTCATAGCCAACTGGCTACTTCTGTTGACTTTCACAGGACATTACTCACAACTAATGCAAACTGGATTAGAGACTCTAGCACTGGAACTTGTGAACAGAAAACCTTTTCCGCTTGTGCTGTGAAACGGTGAGGTACAATCAGAAGCTGCTTATGACTGGAACTGGGGACACAAGTGACCCCTTACAGCAGCCTCTGCTCACCTGGTGCCCTTTAGACATTGCTGGAGTACACCTCCTACCAGCCCCAGCCAACAACATCTGCAGGGCACCATGTTGGCAAAAGCTGCCTTGCAGAATGTTGGGGAAACCAGAACCCTGAACAGACGTACTCCTGTTGGCAGAGTGTGAGGATACGCAAAATGTTCTGTTGTCTTGTATAATTAATGAAGGCCATGATGTGACAGATTCTCTGTCTGAATGAATGTCACTGCCAAAAAATAGTATTCTGAAATCTGGAACACTTTTTCAGGAACCACAGCTGAGTCAGGGGCAGCTAAAGCACCATGTGTGGCTCTTTCATCATCTTCCATAGGTTGTTTTTCTGTGCAGGAGATATGCGATGAGTGCCTCCTCCTTCCACTTCTGTGTAAACTGATCTCTCCCCCCCCCCCACGCACACACACACACACCACACCCTCCCTGCCCCCCACATCCAGCATTATTGTTGTGCTTCTTACACAGGTCACAGAATAAACATTCTCTCAGCTTGCCTGATGCTTGCCATATGTTGACTCCTTCCGAAATATATTTTCTCTCTCTTGATTTCTTTGATATATTCAGCATCACTATCCCCATATGGTATTTTGTAGCTGCTGCTTTTGTGTATTCCGGTGGGGTTTGTCTTTTGCCTTTCAAAGGTTTGTCGTGGAGACAATCCTTCGCAGAACAGTGTTGTGAGCCTGGTTCGTCTAATTATACTCGCTCATTAGAGATGCATCAGAGGTTTTGTGTTAAATTGCTGAGGGTTTTAAAAGCTGAATATCTGAGCAGCAAAAGCTGCATAAACACCAGAGAGAGAACAGAAGGCTTCTTGTATTGAAAGATGATGCACCCTGAGCCGATTTCTTTACTCCTTCATTAATTGCAGATACCTCTGTCCAGCCTTTCCCAGCGCCAACTTAGAAGTGTTTCTCAGGAGAGACTAGGACTGGCTCCTCCATTATGTTGGAGAGATGTTGAAGGCTAGAACTGTGTATGCAATGTGACCAGCCCTTTGACCTCTAAGCAAGGTTGCTGAGGGCAGTGTGCTATGGACGGTGTTGAAGGAAGATTCAAGTGCTAGCCCTGTCAGCTTCTATAACAAAATGTCTTGTCTGGCCCCTATAAAGCAGCTGGAAAAAACAAAGCTCAGGCTATTTGGCAAACTCCAGTAACAAGACAATTGGGAGCAATTCCCACTTGCTATAAAAATGCATACATGCCCATGTGGTTGTGTGTATCTCCTTAGAACTTTGGTACAGTGGTACCTCGGGTTACATATGCTTCAGGTTACATACGCTTCAGGTTACAGACTCCGCTAACCCAGAAATATTACCTCGGGTTAAGAACTTTGCTTCAGGATGAGAACAGAAATCATGCTCCAGCGGCGCGGCGGCAGCAGGAGGCCCCATTAGCTAAAGTGGTGCTTCAGGTTAAGAACAGTTTCAGGTTAAGAACGGACCTCCAGAACGAATTAAGTACTTAACCCGAGGTACCACTGTACAAGCGAACTCTGAGTTTCCAATATGGCGACCTGCAAAGACTAACAGAGCAGGTTTCAGCACCTGGCATCCTTGGAGAGCTGCCAGGGCCCTGGCTTTTTAAAGCAGGGGCCACTGCTAATACCTGTCCTGGGTCCTCCTGATCTAGCCTTTCTTTTAATTTCCTACACTACGCCATGAAATTCAGTCCCATAAGATGCAGCAATGAGCACCAACTTGGATGTCTTTAAAAGAAGACTGTACAAATTCGTGGAGGATCAGGCTGTCAATGGGAACTCACCACCTGGGCCTCTGAATACCGGTTGCTGGGAATTACAGGTGTTGCGATCAGGTCCTGCTTGCAGGCTTCCGGTGGGCATCTGGTGGGTACTGTGAGAACAGGATGCTGGTCTAGATATGCCTTTGGTCTGATCCAGCAGAGCTCTTCTCATGTGCTTACAATGCCCCTGTCCTAGTGTCACCCTGCATCATCATGGGAAGTTAAAAAGCGTAAATAGGCACAGCCACCCAGTGCTGTTATGGCAGCCAGATAAACCTGACAGAGAACCACCTATCCATTGTCAAGAATGTACAACTTGCTGTTGAAATGGAATACTCAAGATGAAATCTGCTATGATTAAATGGGCAGAAGATGTTGGACATAATATTATGATGGCTGACTGGGAACAGTTATGGACCACTGGTATGAAGTTTACGGCATGTAATGCCTTAAAAGAGAATTTAATGAAAATGATTTACAGGTGGTACATAACACCAGTCAAGCTTGCAAAAATCTACCATTTGCCCAATAATAAATGTTGGAAATGTAATGAAACTGAAGGTACATTCTTTCACCTTTGGTGGACATGCCCAAGGATTAAGGCATTCTGGGAGATGATTTATAATGAAATGAAAAAGGTATTTAAATACATCTTTCTAAAGAAACCAGAGGCCTTTCTCCTGGGCATGGTAGGCCAATTGGTGCCAAAGAAGGACAGAACTTTTTTCATGTACGCCACAACAGCAGCAAGAATACTTATCGCAAAGCACTGGAAGACACAAGATTTACCTACCAAGGAAGAATGGCAGATGAAGCTGATGGATTACATGGAACTGGCGGAAATGACTGGCAGAATCCGAGACCAGGGAGAAGAGTCGGTGGAAGAAGATTGGAAAAAATTTAAAGTATATTTACAGAAACATTGTAAAATTAATGAATGTTAGAAGGATGCTGGAAAGAAGTTATACGACTTTAGTTGAAATGTTATAAAGAATTAAGTATGAATAGACCGACAATGGGTAAAGGTTAAACTTAAGGTTAAATTGCGTTAAGATAAATTATGGAACTAAATTTGAGAAAGAGGGAAAGGATTTGCTGGAACAATCAATTGAACTAGAATACAAAAAAGGAGGTGTGAGGAAGTCGAGGAAATAAGCAAATGAAAGATAAGGATATGAAAATACGGGGTTTTTCTTTTTTGTTCTTTTTTCTTCTTTTTTTCCTGCTATTTTTTTTAAAGTTTTTTTTTTCCTTTCTTTTTATGTTATGATGTACTGTTGATGTTTTGTATTATTGTATTTCCTTATGTTTTTGAGGTTTTGTAATTGTTTATTGCTTGTATTTCTTCTTTTTCTCTTTTCTTTTTTTTGTAATATTTAAACTCTAATAAATATCTTTTTTTTAAAAAAAATGAGAACCACCTATCCGGGGCCGATGCCAAATGCCCATGAAAATAGTCCCATGTTTTATAGGAGTACAATATTTTCAGGACTAGAGGCAACCCTTTGAAAACAGGGTGCTATTGCTGTTATCAATTGGTGGAATGCTGTTTAATTCAGCTTCCATAAGTGCAAAGAGGGTGCAAAAAGAGAAATGATGCTAGCAAATTCCTCGTTTCTCCTGCATTCCCCTGCACCAGCTGCCACACGACTTTAAAGGGTCCATTTAGAGGTGATTTGGGGTGGAGTGGACTCGGGAGATTTCAGAGGGAAATAGGATTAGCAAAAATTGCCACCTCTTCCTCCCCTCCCTTCCACTAACAGTTTCTGATGGACCAAAGAATTTTCCATCAGTGGAAAGGCACAACTGGATACAGTTTGGGGGTGCTATTTATTATGACTGTAGCTGCTTTGAAGTACATCAGGGAATGGCAACTTTTTCAGCTACATTCCCTTCCGGATAACCTTCTGAGGGCCACATGCACTGATGGGTATGGCTACAGGTGAAAGTGAATGGTGCAACAAATGGACATTTTGCCTTTGTACAGTTGGCTGGTTTCTGCACATATTCACACACCTCTCTCTATCTCCCCGCCCCCAGACAAGCAATGAGCTTGGGGGGTGCAAAGGCACATGCCATTGGTGAGTAGGGCAATTAATGCCTTGTCTTTGTCTTTGTCCAGTAGGCTACTGTCCAGCCACATAGACCTCCATGTACATTGCTCCATTAAGGCAAGGAAGAGGCATAATTACAGTTCCGGGAGTCATTCAAGCCAGGCAAAAGGAAAGGAGGCGGCGGCTGTGGAGCGGGACCAGTGAGGGGTGTGGCCTGGGGAGAGTTCCAAAGGCCAGAGAGAGATGCCTGGAGGGTCAGATTTGGCCCTCAGGCCTAAGGTTCCCTACCCCTGGTGTGCATGGCACTTTAGAGGGCCATGTTAAATAATGAAATTGAAGTTCCTACCTCAAGAAGCTTACAATATAGTTTTAGAGAGGGAGGGGAGGATGGGAGAGTGAAGACTCACAAGGGATGACCGTGTGGTTTACTCACAGAAGGTCAAATACAAAGTACTGATGGCTTATTGCAAATCTGTTCTTTTTGGCACCTGTTTCCCAGAGGACAACATGGCTTTTTTCTCTGCTAGGTCCTTTGGAGTGGAGTCAGTCAGGGAGCAAATCAGGCAGGCGCCCTGCTGAGAGAGCCTGACCTTCTGCCATTAATTCTGATAGAGCTGAGAGCGATTGTGTCCACAAACCTGGTTAAAGCTGATGCAGCAGAAGAGAATAACAGTCAATAAAGCTTGCAGCTCATGCTGGCCAACAGCTCTAAGACAAAGGTGCCCAAGGAAATATTCATCATCTAAAGAACTTCAGGATCTGAGTGGCATGCTGAGTTATTGCAACGGCTTGTCCTTGCTAGAGACTTTGTTATAGCTAGTTTAAGATGCGGTGGAAAATGCTTGCTGGCTCACCCTTGTGGCTGAACGGCATATTGCAGGACACAGCTTGCTTCTAAGCCCAAGCTAATAGGCAACATCAAAGAAGCATCCCTCACTTCTGTTTGTGCAACTGCTTGAGAGAGTTGCATCACGTGGCATCGCTTTGGTGGGCTCATTGATGCTATCAAGAAGAAGGTTACTGTGACACATTCAGCCCATAAGGAAGATCATTATCATCAGAAGCGTGACATTTAATAACGCAGTCGATAAAGTATTAGCAATATTGTGTTTTTCATACCTTTTACAATTGATTTTGGGACATTTTTTTTTTACGGCATGCAATCAGCCTGAAGATCTTTACGAAAATCGAAAATGATTGCAAGGGAAGAATGTGTTGTGTAATGGATTAATAACAATACAGTAGTATATTTAAGCCAGCTCTGTTCCTCTTTAGCGGGCTACGCTTGTTGCTTAACTGTCTCTTGTGTCCATGCTAGTGGTGTCCCTGAATGCATCCCTTTACTTTCCTCCTCCTGTATAAATGTAATGGTGCCATTCAGCAATGTGGGAGAAAGAAAAGCGCCACACTTGGGAGTCCACCCCACCATGTCACGACCAACTATGAGATAACAGGAGGAGAATGTCCTTCCTTCCCCTTCTGAAGACAACTACAGGGTTGTGGGAATGGGGCATCCCTGTCCTACACATTACACATGACAGGCATGTGGCCATTGAGTCACATCCTCGTTTCCACACAAAGCAGGCCCAAACCGATGTTTTACTGTGCATGCACCAAGTTGTTGAATGCTTGGGGGCGGGTGGGTAGTGTTTGTGTCATTAATTGTCCTTTTTATGTGTGCAAGAACGACTTTTATATGCAAAGGGAAATGTGTTCGTTCCTCACTAGGACAGAACGATCGGTTTTGAAAACAGGAATTCCCCTTGACTCAAATAAAAAATGGATTGCCAGTTAGAAGCAGCACTGGAGAATGCTATATGCAAATAAATATTTTTTCACAAGAGTTTGAAATTGGCTCATAATTATTTGAAAAAGTGCAGACATTACATTGTGGGGATGGCAGTGGGGAAAGACAGCACACCACCTACGTCTACTCTATGATGCACACCACCCCAATCTCCAAGCAGTGTGAGATTTCAGCTGTTTCAGGGTTCGGTTTCCTCAAAATGAGGCACAGGGGAGACTGTGGTGTCTTTATGATAATATGGGTTCTTTACACATGTATGCAACCTGAGTCTATGATGGAGGGGCTCACAGCATCAACACCTCAAAAGGGTCTTGCTTCTCCCATAGCCACAGGTTTGGATCCTAGCAGAAATTAGGCCTGGCTCTGACCTCCTGCTTTTCTAGCTTGCTGCCTTGTTTCCAGCTTCTATCTTACACACACCTCAACCCTCAACTCTGGCCTTTGTCTTTCTAACTATCAGTGAGTTGAGGGAGGTGGACTCACCCATTTGCTGTCAGGCACAGAACCATTTCCTTTGTTACCTTAATAAGGTAAAAGGTAAAGGACTCTTGGACAGTTAGGTCCAGTCAAAGGCGACTATGGGGTTGCGGTGCTCATCTCTCTTTCAGGCCAAGGGATCCGGCGTTTGTCCCCACACAGATTTCTGGGCCATGTGGCCAGTATGACTAAACCACTTCTGGCGCAATGGAACACTGTGACAGAAACCAGAGCACATGGAAATGCCGTTTGCCTTCCCACCACAGTGGTACCTATTTATCTATTCGTGCTGGTATACTCTCAAACTGCTAGGTTGGCAGAAGCTGGGACAGAGCAACGAGAGCTTACCCCATCATGCAGATTCGAACCACCGACCTTCTGATCAGCAAGCCCAATTGGCTCAGTGGTTTAGACCAAAGCGACACCTGCTCTCCCTGGCTCATACTTAGACGGCCATTACAACACCAGGAAGCTAGCCTGGCTATTTCAGGAATCGAATCCATGCTGGATCCAGGAATTAGAAGGGGGCTTATGCATACAGCCTATTCCACCCCCCACCAAAAAAACTCATAACGTGTTCCCTATTTTTCCTGAGTAGTTCATGCTCAATGATGCCTTGTTCCTTGATGGGCACTAACGGCTGTTCCACTCCCACAGCTGTCCAAGTCAAAAAAGTGACCCCAGATTTAGGGATAGCTCTGCTAGTCCTGCTGCCAGCCTCCTGAGGTCTAGTTCAAACTATCCAACTGCTACACCAGTCACTTATACAGGATGCAGGTCCTGCTCTTGGGGCAAATGTCATTTTTTCTAACTTAGGCATTTCTGTCCAAATTAATCTTTCAAGTCACTTATTTTTAAAAATGTAAGACGATTTCAACATGCACCAACACAGCAGCGACCATCTTAAGAATGAATAATATAATATCCTTAGTTGAAATTCTGAGCTGAAGACCTTTTTCAGGGACGAGGGAACTCATCTCAAAAAACGCATGCACTGCAAACTCCATAAATTTCTATTTGGAGCCTAATGTTTTTGAACTACAGCAGCTTCACCAATATTTTACATCATCTTGTTTGCCTGAGCAGGAAAAGTGAGGATCTATGTTCAGTCACCCCAGATTTGACCAACAAAAGATTATCATTGTGTCCTTCCCATTCAGTCAATTTAATTCAGCTGACAGAAGACAAAGAGGATAGATTAGGACCTGTCTTTTACATGAAATCATATCTGGCAAACTGATGTGCCTGGATTTAGATCCACCAGTAGACACTGCAATGCCTAATAACAAACAGATGCACTGTGGGAGACTGTCTCGAAGAATCAGCGCACCAAAGAAAAGAAACCAGCATAAAGGGAAGGTTTTAAAACAGTTTTCTCCAGCAGGAACAAACAAGTTTAGCTGCTCTGCTCCCTGGTTCTCAATTACCAAGGAGTGAAAATAATGAGCTGTTACTCTGAAATTTATTGAAACAGCTACTTGAAGCAGGGGTTAGGTATGTGATATGACAGTTTTCCCTCTGTCCATGACTGACCTTTTGTTCAAAAGAAATCCAAAGCTATGTTACTGAACATTTTATCAAATGCAGTAGAAAAAGAATTACATGCCCATTTTCAACACTCCCTATATATCCACTGTAAGGAATGTTTTTCCAGGAGTATTGTCGTTTTTTAATTGTCCCCAGAGTCCCGTAGAATTACAAGCACAGAGTAGCAAAACGATATTTCTCATTGACCAACTATCCTTTCGAAAAGCTGGCATAATATGGCAGTAAAGAGCAAAAGGGGTGCAACAGAAAGACCCTGGTTCAATCTCACCTTATCCATGAACTCCTTGAGTAGTCGACTTTGTGTAATCCATAATAACAATGTATTTGATTTCTGGGAACAAGAAAACTTGTCTTATTTTACTCCAGTGGTGGCTGATGGCCACTGGAGCCGATAGTGTGAAGGCAGAAAGACTAACAGAATATGGAGCCAACTGATTCTGTCCCCATCCTCCTGTCGAGTCCCTCAAGGGCAGCACTATGGCTAAGGAGGAGGAAGTGGACACTCAATGCCACCACCACTCCAGACCAGATGTAAGTAAAAAAGGAAGCAGGTGGGGGCTGGCTGAAGGCAGAATGAGACTGGCGGGACAGGGGTCCCATTCGCAGCAATGAACTAGTATCGACTGGAAGTACTTGACTAGTGGAGACTGAAGAGGTACCTCAAAAAGCCAAGGGAGAGTCAGGTAATTTGTATGACAGATGCATGGAGAATCAGGTCCCCCCCCCCCGCACTATTTACATGGGTATTTACTACTATACAGCCATAGCAGTGTACCAGACTCCCTCCCTTTCCCACTGCCTCCATCAGAACAACAAAGCCAAGCACAAGGGGGAAGTGCTGGTTTTCACTTTTAAATATAAATCTAAACAGTTTGGGACCAAATTATATGGAGGGCTACTAATGCCTGTATGGGCCTCTCAATGCATTAAGATCTGCCTCAGGTGCCCTGTGTGCAAGTCCTCCTGTAAGGTTGGGAGGCACAGAAGACAGGGGCTTTACTGCTGTGGCCCCCATATTGCAGAAATCCTCTATCAAAGATATGCCAATTTTAAAAACACATTTATTTGGCCTGCTTGTTCTTAATTGTAAGACAATTATTTCAGAAAGCTATTCTAGAATGGATGGTATTTCTATTTTGCTGCAACTTATTTTGCTCTTTTATTTTCATTATTTTAACTGGTCTTCTCTGCAGTTATCCCGTTTATAGAATGCTCTCCCCAGGGAGGCTCACACGGCACCAATTTTGTCACTGCATTAACACCAGGCAAAATTCATTGTTGTTTTCCTGGGGATCTGAGGAGCACCAATGATGTGATTGTACTCTTAAATCTGTTTTATTAAGGTTTCCATTATTTTATTGTTGTATTTTTATTTTGGCTGTAAATTGCTTTGGGCTTTTCTTAGTGGGAAGCAATGTACAAATCAATAAACCCAGGCCTATGTCAAAACACTGCTATATAAATTTGTTGTTTTTTTGGTGAATTTTAATGAGAGAGAAGCCACCCTGGATGAGTTGTACCCAAAAGAACAGCTTATAAATACAGGTAATTTTATAAATGGAAGGAAGGAAGTTGGAGGAAAAACGGGAGGAGTGTGATGGCTGTCTATGGGAAGTGGGGTTGAGGGAGCCAGTTGTGCCCCCCATGAAAATACTGAATTTTACAGATCCATAAAAGGTTTGGAATTGAATGTGAAAAAACTGAGTGATTTTCTCAATAAATAAGAAAAGTTACACAATTCCCTGGCATTTTTTTTTTTTTTTTTGCAGTGTACATGTGCCAAAATAGGTACTTGCATCTGCCTCAGAGATTATGAGGTACAAATATTATACTAACAGGTAAAGCAGCCCTAACTTTGCACACGGTTTCTCATCTACTGGAGATCAATATAGGTGAAACTCGGAAAATTAGAATATCGTGGAAAAGTGTTGGTGTTGGTCCACTGTGCTTCATTAAGTCCAGGGTCAACGCAGCTGTCTACCAAGAGATTTTGGAGCACTTCATGCTTCCTTCTGCAGACGAGCTTTATGGGGATGCTGACTTCATTTTCCAGCAGGACTTTGGCACCTGCCCACACTGCCAAAAGTACCAAAACCTGGTTCAACGCCCATGGGATTACTGTGCTTGATTGGCCAGCAAACTCGCCTGACCTGAACCCCATAGAGAATCTATGGGGTATTGCCAAGAGAAAGATGAGAGACATGAGACTGAGCAATGCAGAAGAGCTGAAGGCTGCTATTGAAGCTTCCTGGTCTTCCATAACACCTCAGCACTGCCACAGGCTGATAGCATCCATGCCACGCCGCACTGAGGCAGTGATTGATGCAAAAGGGGCCCAAACCAAGTACTGAGTACATATGCATGCTTCTACTTCTCAGAGGTCCAATATTGCTCTATTTGCAATCCTTGTTTTGCTGATTTCATTTAATATTCTAATTTTCTGAAATTGTTAATTTGGGGTTTTCATCAGCTGTACGCCATGATCATTACAATTATAACAAAAAAAGGCTTGACATATCTCGCTTTGCATGTCATGAGTCTATTTCATATATTAGTTTCACCTTTTAAGTTGAATTACTGAAATAAATGAACTTTTCCAAGACATTCTAATTTTCCGAGTTTCACCTGTATGCTTAAAGACCACTGCAGAAGCCTTTCTCGTATTCAACCTCCCCTAGTTTCCCAAACGGTGGCCAAAATGCTCTGGACTCATTGAAACAAACATCTCTGCTAGACCAAACCACAAATGGCACCACCGTAAATCAGAGAGTTTGGCAGCAAAGTTGCAGAGCGTTGTATGTACCGTAAATCCTGGAGTTCCACACAAAAGTTACACCATAACCTCTGCTATATTACACACTAAATCAGACGTGTCTCCAAAGAAGTTGCAACATCAGCCACTTGCCTGTAGTCTTGATATTTATGGGGAGTATCCGCTGGCAGCAGATATGATCAACGTGCTGCTGCTTCCGTGAAAGACAAGATAGCACGGAAGGCGCCGTTTGGGCAGCCACTTGCGGCTGCTGCTGCTTGACTCCAGGTCAAAGTGGCTTGAGAAGAGCAAGCATGAAAAATCCCTGGGAAGCTTTGGAGTTCATTGTAACCGTGGGATCATTTCATTACTTTCTTGCTTAATCTTCAAGAAAACCTCTTATCTGTTTTCCTATCAAAGCCCTTGAATACATACCATGCTGGAGATGAATGACTTAAATACCAAGCCAGATTAGAGAGCTAAGATGAAGGTAGAACTGCAAAAGCTGAGACCAGATCAATATCCATTTCAGCAGTGCAGGGGAAAAAAGAAAGGAAAGGGGGGATATCTAAAACTAAACATGCTGTGAAAAAAGGAAGTGGTAGCTTCCTACAAAGAGACCATGCTTGACAGCTAGACTTAGGGTAAGGCCTGGGGATGATCTTATGAGTACTCAGAGCTGGCACTCACCTTCTGAAATCCATATGATGCCTAAAGCAGTCACGGTACTGACCCCCCTTAGTTCTGACTATTATGGAAAAAGAGTAAGAGGGCAGGAAGCATAATCCACAGGGAACAATGATGCATAAGCCCCCATGCTTACAATGACGTGAACTACGCAGTCTCTAGTGGATGCAACAACTGCAGACCATTTTTTCAGTGTTATGTTGTTGTTGTTGTTGTTGTTTAGTTGTTTAGTCGTGTCCGACTCTTCATGACCCCATGGACCAGAGCACGCTAGGCACTCCTGTCTTTCACTGCCTCCCACAGTTTGGTCAAGCTCATGCTGGTAGCTTCGAGAACACTATCCACCCATCTCGTCCTCTGTCGTCCCCTTCTCCTTGTGCCCTCCATCTTTCCCAACATCAGGGTCTTTTCCAGGAGTCTTCTCTTCTCATGAGGTGGCTAAAGCATGGGAGCCTCAGCTTCACGATCTGTCCTTCCAGTGAGCACTCAGGGCTGATTTCCTTCAGAATGGATAGGTTTGTTCTTCTTGCAGTCCATGGGACTCTCAAGAGTCTCCTCCAGCACCATAATTCAAAAGCATCTAGACAGGAAAATTGGCTTCCAGGTGGAAAAATCGAAATTAGAAACAGAATTGTTAGAACCCAATACTAAGAATCTGTCAAGAATGTATAACTTGCTGCTGAAATGGAATACTCAAGATGAAACGGTAAAATCGGCTATGATTAAATGGGCACAGGACGTAGGACACAACATTATGTTTGCTGACTGGGAACAGTTATGGACCACTGGTATGAAATTTACGGCATGTAATGCCTTAAGAAGAATATTATGAAAATGATATACAGGTGGTACATAACCCCAGTCAAGCTTGCGAAAATTTATCACTTGCCCGATAACAAATGTTGGAAATGTAAAGAAACTGAAGGTACATTTTTTCACCTTTGGTGGACGTGCCCAAAGATTAAGGTTTTCTGGGAAATGATATATAATGAATTAAAAAAGGTATTTAAGTATACCTTTCCCAAGAAACCAGAGGCCTTTCTCCTGGGCATAGTGGGCCAAATGGTGTTAAAAAAGGATAGAACTTTCTTTATGTATGCAACTACAGCAGCAAGAATACTCATCGCAAAGTATTGGAAGACACAAGAACTTCCCACGCTGGAGGAATGGCAGATGAAACTTATGGACTACATGGAATTGGCGGAAATGACTGGCAGAATCCGTGACCAGGGAGAAGAGTCGATGGAGGAAGACTGGAAGAAATTCAAAGACTATCTTCAGAAACACTGCAAAATTAAGGAATGTTAGAGTGATGTTGGACTGAAAATAAGTGGTTTCCAGTTGTACAGGTTAAAGATAAGGATAGATTAAGATTAAAGATTAAGATTAAAGATGTTTAAAGAAATGGAAATTTGATAATAAAAGGGAAAAATTTGAAGCTATATGACATTAAGAGTAAGGATTAGGTTTAAAAAAGTGAAGTTATATATTTTAATATTTTATTAAATTAAAGATTGGGATTAAAAAAAGTGGAAAAGAAACTGCTGGATAAATAATGTGGATTGGAATACAAAAGAGGGAGGTATGAGGAAGTCCAGAAAATAAGTAATTTAAAATTGGAAATGGAAAAGAGAGTTTGTTTTTAATTGTTATGTTTTGTGTTTTTATTGTTATTGTTCTTTGTGTGTGTTGTTTTTCTTTTTTCTTTGTTTAAAACCTTAATAAAAATTATTTTTTAAAAAAAACGAAAAACAAAAGCATCAATTCTTCGGCGATCAGCCTTCTTTATGGTCCAGCTCTCACTTCCATACATCACTACTGGGGAAACCATAGTTTTTACTATACGGACCTTTGTTGGCAAGGTGATGTCTCTACTTTTTAAGACGCTGTCTAGGTTTGTCATTGCTTTTCTCCCAAGAAGCAGGCGTCTTTTAATTTTGTGGCTGCTGTCACCATCTGCAGTGTTATAGAGTTCCCTTATACAGAGTCAAGCTACTGGCCATCTTGCCCAGTACTGTCATGTTGACAGGTCTCCAATGTCTTGGGCCCTGCTCAGACAGGAGACATTTCCCAGCCCTGATCCTTCTTGAACCGTATATTCTAGGGATGTATGTTTACCATGGGTCTAATTACAGGTGGAGATGAATCAGCGTACAGGGGGGAGGTTCAAAAAGTATCTACATGGTGCTTGAGAACATGTGCAGAATGGAAGGCAAGAGGGAGGAGGGTGCCAAATAAATAATTAGGGCGCCAAAGTTTGCCCTTGCTCAGAGTGCCATATTACCAAAGTTCACCCCTAGTTACCTGCAACAACCAGTGATCCCAGATTTGGGTATACACTGTCTTGACATTCTGGCCAATTGAATGGGACTAGGATATGTGTCATGTGCATGTCCATAAACACTGCATACATCAAAGGCACTTTCCAAAAGCATCATGTTGTTGCTTGCTTGAGGAGGCTCTGTCCTTGTTCATGGACAACCCTTTTAAGAACTTAAGGAGACCCTGCTAGATCACACCAATGGTCCATCTGGTCCAGAATCTTGTTCCCACAGTGGCTAATGTTTGTATTCTACTTTTCCTAAAGTGGGAGAAAACCAGGCAAGTGCTCAGTTCCAGTATATGTAAAGTGGGACATTGATGGTTAAAGCAATATAATCTACCAGAGCCTGCTCATATCTTTTTCAGACACCCACACTTCTAATCTGCAGGGATTCACTGGAACATGGATTAGAATTTAGGTATCTCATACCTTGGTCTCCCTCCACCTACTCAGCCTGGTTTCATAGCTAAGTTTATTTCACAATTCAAACACTACCAGAAAAACTAGTATCAGTGCTCCACTACAGCTGATTTCTTTTTAAAACAACACTAGTACACACCCACATCCAAAAATCCTAGGAATTAACCCCTCGCAGAGCTACCTGTCCCAGCACCATGAACCAACTATGGCTCCCAGGATTATGAGGGCTAGGGTGGGTGCTTTAAATGCATGGTATGTTCAGGGCAAGTAATTTTTTTTGCAGATCTTTTCATTCCATGGGCTCCCCAAGTACCTTCCACTTTAAACAGGGCAATTCTTATCCGTGTAAGCCCCCAAACTGCTTTCACCTCATTTTTAGCTCCTGTGTTGCTAGCACATTAATTTCCAATAGTGCTATTAATAGTGCTACTTGGTTGCTGCCTGCAGCTGAAGACTGACGGTCTTCAGTGATCTGGATGGAGCCCTGCTTAAAGCATTGCAGAAGGGCACACATCACGCTCAGCAGCAGGACTTCAGCACTTAATAATAAAAGCAGCCAGCAGCACCATTTTATCAGTTAATAATAAAAGCACTGATGAGCAAGCGTCTGTTGATTTGGCCTGGTAGTCAAGAGGGCAGTCTGAATGCTGTGAACAAAAGTGAATGAGTTGGAAGGAAAAGGAATGACTTTGGAAGATGAAAGAAGTTACTTAAATAATTTTGGGAGGTGACATTTAAATCTTGACATGGGAAGTTAATAGAATGAATTTGGGGTGATCTGTTTTGGAGGAGAATATGTAGAATTAATTGATGAGCTTGAAAATTAATGGAATCAACATTTCTGCAGGGAACGATAGTGTTTGTTTGTGTGTTCACATTTAATTATTACCGTATTTTTCGCTCTATAAAATGCACCAGACCATAAGACGCACCTAGTTTTTGGAAGAGGAAAACAAGAAAAAAATATTCTGAATCCCAGAAGTCAGGACAGCCAGCGGGATCGCTGCGTAGCGATCCCACTGGCTGTCCTGGCTTATGGGATAGCCGCGCGCAGCCTCTCCTGGGCAAGAGGAGCCATCATCCCCTGCCTAGGAGAGGCTGCACGTGGCTAAGGCTCCCCCAAGAGCCACGCTCCCTTTAAAGAGCGTGCGGAGCTCCTCTTGGGAGCTTTTCCCTGAGGAGGGAGAAGGGCAGCCCTTCTCCCTCCTCGGGGAAAAGCCCCCAAGAGCTGCACACATGCTCCAAGTGGCTCTTTAAAGGAAATGCTGAGCAGAGCCTCCCACCTGCATTCGCTCCATAAGACGCACACACATTTCCCCTTACTTTTTAGGAGGGGGAAAGTGCGTCTTATAGAGTGAAAAATACAGAACTTATTTTAGAGCAAGGGTCACCAGTGTTGCACCTACAAAGGCCTTCACTGGCACCTCCAGGTAGGGCTCCCACATTCTGAGCTTTATTTAAAAAAATAAAAATAAGGATGAAAATCAACTAAGTTTTATTCTGAGCAGGCCCATTTAAATAAGTCACTGTCATTGATTTCAATGGGCCTACTCTGTGTAAAACCTAGCTGAAGACCACCCTAAGTCTGCAGCCCTCCTAGAAACAAAGTTATGCAGCAAAATGTGTAGGTACCCTTCTAAGCAATTTATATGAAATGAGTCAGCTTGACTGCTCCTGCCTGAAAGTGTTTATAGTCAATGAGTGAAGTCGGAGCAGTGATTGATACGCTAGTTCTTTGGATACAAGGCAATAGGAATCCCTAGGTCTTAAAGACCTGCTGTTTTCCTCTCTCCTTTAATGCACTTTTCCAGTTTCTGATTTATTTTCTAGCCCTTGGAATTCCCATACTTTGCCCTTCCTTTTTCCCTAGCAACCAGGACACATCTTTCCCGTGGTGGATTTGTCTGAGATCAAGCAGTCCCTACAAATTATTTTCTGCAAATACTGCTACACACTAACAGTGGGTGGATGTTAAAAAACCCCAAAAACCCTCTATCACAAAAGGCAAACATGAAAAGTTTCCAAAGAGGCTTAAGCCTGTCTCCTGCTATGCAGGAGCTGAAGTCTAGGCACTCATTAAGAGTTCGCTGTAAAGTTAAATTACAGTACAATTGTATACATGCCCACTCAGGAATAAATTACTTTGTGTTTAATAGGAGCTACAGCCTGTGTTTTGGTTTAAGTTTGGCACTGGGAAAAACAGAGTTCTAGTGCCGTTAACACTAGAAGAAATCCAACAGTTTAAACATGTTCTAGTATGGCAATACAATTATGGGGAAAGCTTCACCATGACCGCACTCTCTAATTTTGTGCTATGCCATGCCCTCTGCCCCACAACAGACACATTGGGCTGGGCCCACAGCACTCTCAAAATTCAAAATAAGCCCACTTGTCCAAAGAGGTTGGTGACCCCCTGTAAATACAGAACACCATATGTGCTAAGTTCAATTATTAAAATGCTATGATTCTCCACCCTAAATAATTTAAATTAGGATGCTAATAGATTCATCGCCTTGTTTCTTCCCTAATAGTTATATTAAAAGCAGGAATGATTGTAGTTCTATAGATATTCTGTTAGCCACCTTGAAATATGTGAACTGGAGATCAGGATATAAATGGATACATCAAAATAAATGCATTCAAGAGATGCTTTCTCCCAACATGTATTTTTGCCATCATGTTATTTACATCTATTGAATTTGTGCCGGTTATAATAGTGGTTACAAACACAGAGGCCGTCCACCACCACCCTGGTAAGGAAGAAAGGAGGCACCTTCACATATTATTTAATTTATTTGCTCATTTTGCCTTATGTTTATGCCCCACCTTCCTTTCATCCTGGAACCCCAGGTTCTGTACTTGTAGTTTCTAGGGGTGCTCACCTATCCAGGCACTGACCAGACCTAGACCTACTTAGCTTTAGCAAGGTGGTGGCTTAATGCACCTTGAGATCATTCCCTGAGATGAAGAAGTATGCAGGAACAAACACTGGGAACAGGGAATGGAAGGGGCAGTAAGACCTCAAAGCAGACACTTCCAGATATGTTTTTAAAGCTAGTGAGGCTACTCTGGCCTTCATAGGCTTGGAGACGGCCCTGAGCAAATGACAAACATTAATTTGCCACCTGTGCAAATACACCACATCGGCTGTTGAAGCTGAGTGACGAAAAGGTGAAACGTTTCACCCAAAACTATGTTTCTTGACTGTGGGAATCACTAAACAATCTCTTATTTCAGAGCACATTAAAAAAAAGCCCCACACACAACCTGATACAAATTCAATTTTTAAGGAAAGCCGCCTGTGTACACAACACCTGGCTGGCCCTGCATACAGAGCAGCTGCTGCATAGTAACAACTGTGCTTACTTAACTGGGCTGCTGAAGGGTTTTCCTTCATTCATACCTAGAGGCAAAGGGATTATGACGGCTGCCTTTCAAATACTTATCTGCGGCTCAGTTCCTATTCCTTCCTAATGTCTCTTATAATAGGATTTGGAGTTGCTGTAATGGGGCTTTGCTAAGGAAACAATGAAGACATTTAAGGTGAGGTGGGAAGCTGAATGTCCTGCTCAGCTGGAGGTTACTCTCTCCACCCCCCCCCCAACTCCCCACAGAACAGCCTGAGCATGTCAGGCTTTGCAGGAAGGAAGTGAACATCAGCTGCAACACTGGGGGAGGATATCAGCAACAGAGAGGATCGGCTAAGCAGCACGGAGCAGGCTGCTGCTCCCAGGGCAAATGCAGATGCTGTCATTTGCCACGGTGGGTAAATGTAGGCCCTCTGCAAGCCAGTTGGCTGTAATATCCCGCCAAAGGGCAGAAAGAGAATTCAGTTCACATATCTCTACCTCATCAGAAACCAGGGGGGGAGGAAAGATGAAGTAAATTACTCCTTGGAAACTGGCAGCTTCCCCAGTGTTACAAAAAGAGCTTTCAAAGTATTTCTTGTACAGTATAAGAAATTTAACCTGGAATGGGATTTTAGCACATCTTATTGTTGCATGCCACCCCAATCTCAGAGAAGTGTGAGATTCCAGGTGTTCCAGGCATTTACCTAGGGCTCATGTTTCCTTTTTGAAATGAGGCACAGTAGAGACTGTGGTGCCTTTACGGCATATGGTTTATTTACCCATATACAGTGCTTTTTTTATAAAAAAAATATGTTTAGGAGTACTCTCATTTTGACTCAAGAAAATAACCATTTTATAGTTCAAATTGGGAAAAATGAATACAGTAAATGGACAAAAGTACAAAGATTCACAAAATGTTTAGGGGTATGCATACCCCTGCGCCCCCCCCCCCAAAGCACTCTCCATATAAACAACCTGACCTCACATCATCAACACCTCAAAAATGTCTTGATTCTCCCACAGTCGTAGCCTTGGATTCAAACAGAACTCAACCATTGCTCTCAAACATCCCTCTTCAGCTTGCTAATTTACTTCTAGGTCACATCACTGAACTCTTAACTCTCACTTGTGGCTTTTGTCCTTCTCGCCATCTGCAAGTTGAGGAAGGGGCCCCACCCATTTGCCATCTCCCTTTGTTCTCCTCACACATCATCAGGAAGCTAGCCTGGCTGTTCCAAAAATTAGAAGCCTTGAATAAATTTTAACACTTGCTGGATCCAGGGATTGGAGGGGTCTCAGCACACAGCCTACTTCCTCCACCTGCAAAACCGTAACAATATATTTTCCTAGATTCTGAACCATTTTGTTGAAAGCAACCCTAACAGTCAATCCTATGTGTGTTGATTTTGATGTCCCATTGTGTTCAGCGGGATTTACTCCCAGGTAAGTGTGCGTAGATTTCCAGCCTAAGTCACAGGGATGGAGCAAGCTGGAATAAATTAGGAGACCCTATCCCAATGTGATGCCCTCCAGATGTTGTGGACTAAAGCTCCCATCAGTCATGGTCATTGGTCATGCTGGCTGAGGTTGATAAGAGCTGGAGTCCAGCAACATCTGGAAGGCACCAGGCGTGTGACTCCTGCCCCATACCATATAGTTACATCAGCCACAAGCACATTTTAATTTCTAAATCTTTTGTTTCAGAAGGCCTTTCTAGAAAAAGAATGCCAAAGTTGGACAATACATTTTGGTGCATGAGATGAAGGGAACCCAGGTGACACACCCCTCACATTAGTCAACCTGGAATACGGTTCAGTGATTGAGTTGTGCAAGAGTATGGCAGACTATGGCTTACAGGTCACCTCTTACACCCACCTTCATATTGTGTTCACTCAACACATGGAGGGAGAAGTGGGATCACAAATCCTGGCCCCACCCTCTTTTTTTCCAGCCTCCCATGCAGTGAGGAAGCCGGATCAGAGTTCCACCTGCATATCCAAAAACAACGGATACACGGTTTATGTGTGCAGAGCTCCCTTCACACCATCCACTGAATTCACAGAGGGTGAGAGGTGGGGCTGATGGAGGGGATCTCATTCCTTCCCCCACCAACATTCATGTATTATTTTTGCTGTATATGTATGGCTTTTTTTTAAAAAAAAAAAAGGTATTATTTGTGTTGCTATAACCCATCCTAGGACTTTATGGTAAAGGCTGCATAATAATTCATAATGGTGATGACAATGTGAATGAAAGTGGCAATCAGGTTTCAGACTTCTCTGCCTCTCCGGGCCAGCCCTACCATTAGGCAGAGTGAGGTGACTACCTCAGGCAGTAGATGCTGGGGGGCTGTGGCAGAAGCACCTTGGCTGTTCTGTATTGGAGGACAGAGCTGCGTATACCAGACAGCCTGGTCTGCCTCCCCCCGCCCCACACACTAGCCTGCTGCCTTACGTACAATGGAGAGCACTATCCTAATGTGAGAGATTCAGCTGCCAGTCCAGTGATTCCTCTATGGAGATGCCATCATGTCCTTTACCCTCAGGCAGCAAAATGTATTTGGCCGGCCCAACCGTCTCTTCTTCTGTGCTCTGTGCTTGCAACCCATTGCCTGAGGTGGTTGTTTCACGTGGCTTCATGGTAGGTCTGCCTCTTAAGAAAGACAGACTGTTGCTGAGGTAGCTAAGCAGCTATGATGGCTAAAGCGTTAAACACACACACACACACACACACACACACACACACACTCAGATATTTAGAGACAAAAAATGCAGTTTACATTTGTCTCTGGCATACATTTCTCTCCTGGGGAGAATGTCTCAGGCTACAAGGACGGCGGTGCTCTGAATAGCCCCCCCTCCCCCCCGCTTCTCTGCCAACATAAAACACCATCAGATAACCTCATGTAAGGAAAGGAAGAGAAGCTATTAAAATTAATAAGCAACCAGCTACTACAAGCAGCTGCTTTGTCATTTTACATATTGCCTGGCAAAGAAGAGCAATATTTCCATTCCAGCAATGGTAATAGACCGTCTTCTTTCTTCAACGCAGGAGGGAGAACTGCAAAGCTGCCAGGAGCTCACACCGAGATAGCGGCAGGACAGCAGGAGGGGATTCAACACATCCAGCATCCCTGCTGCCCTGGGCTCCACAATTTTTTTTTCTTCAGCCATAGGGCCACATTACATTCTGAGCAACCTTCCAGGGGCCACATGCCAGTGGTGGGTGGGGCCAGAAACAAAAGTAGGTGGGGGTGGGGAATGTGAATTTTACCTTTGTACAGTAGTCTAGTGTCTTCCTACTCACACACCTCTCTCTCTGTTCCCCCAATCCAAGCAAGCAAGAAGCATTATTAGAGCTTAATGGCACATTCCAGCCAGGCAAAACCATTCACGGCAGGTGCAAAGCAAGGCTGGCGAGGAATGAGGCTCAGGAGAGAGTCTCAAAGGCCAAAGAGAGAGTACAGGAGGACCAAATTTGGCCCCTGGGCCAGAGGTTCTCCATCAGTGCCCTGCACAGTCTTCCTCTGCATTCATCCACCTGCCCACCAGGTATAGGGCAGAAAGTGGGTGGGAAGCACAGCAGACACAACCTAAGCTGGTTGCCCTGGTCCATTTTACAGGTGAGGATCTGGCAATTCCAAAGCTGCACCTCTCTAAAACAAACAGGTAGAGATAGACATGGGATGTGGGTGGCGCTGTGGGTTAAACCACAGAGCCTAGGACTTGCCAATCAGAAGGTCAGCGGTTCGAATCCCTGCGACGGGGTGAGCGCTCATTTGGTCCCTGCTCCTGCCAACCTAGCAGTTCAAAAGCATATCAAAGTGCAAAGTACCTTCCGGCGGGAAGGTAAACAGCGTTTCCGTGTGCTGCTCTGGTTCACCAGAAGCGGCTTCGTCATGCTGGCCACATGACCCGGAAGCTGTACACCGGCTCCCTCGGCCAATAAAGTGAGATGAGCGCTGCAACCCCAGAGTCGGCCATGACTCGACCTAATGATCAGGGGTCCCTTTACCTTTACCTAGAGATAGACATATAAGTAGCACCTCTGCTTGCCATCCTCTGCTCATATTAGATACAGAATGCCCATATGACATATTTTTATCTCCTGGGCCTTCAGTTCAGTTCCAGATGGTAGTCACAGCCAAATGGCTAGTGAAACTGAACTAAAATTAAATACAGAAATTAAACAGTGCTTAATAATGTATCTCACCTAGGATCTACAGAGCTGAGCTTGCCTATCAGTTAAGATGGCAGCGCGATATGATGCTTCTCTACTCAGAAGTATACTTATTTCCAGGAAAATGCTATAGGATTTCAGCTTGAGGTCCTCCTCTGAGATCATCTGCCACCATCAGTTAGATCGGTGAGCACAAGACAGAGCCAAGCTTTTTTGTGCCTTGTAGCAACTTTGGAAGACCCTCCCTAGAAAGTCTCGCCAGGCAGCTTCACTACTACTATCTGGGATTATTGTATTTCCCCTTTAATGAACAGCTTGGCTTCTATACCCTTATATGACCTACTGTTTATTGAAACTGTTCATTTTTTTAAAAAATCATCTAAGTCAGATATCATGAGTGGGTTTTTTTTTTTAAATTGATTAAAATCTCCCAAATAAGTAAATAAGTTACTTTGTGTTGGCTGAAAGCAGGGTTGTCGCCTTGCAGCTGCTTTTGGTTGGAAGTCTACTGTTATATGCCACTTAATGCCAAGACAGGCTTCTACATGGTTTAGCCTTTCCCTGTGAGGGATGCAGTGGAGAGACTCCCAGCTTTTTATAACAAATAATATTCTCAGGGTGCTTTGGCAGCCTTAACAGCAAAGAAGACTGGAAGGAAGGACTGAGAAAGTCAGAGAGGATATAATCCCCTGAGATATCACGGAACAGAAAAGGAAGAATGTCGAGCAAAAGAAAGGAGTTAAAGCTAATTATATGTGCCAGCTCTGCCACTGTGTGTGCACACAGCATAGTTCTCTTCAGAAGACGGAGAAAATCCCTTCAACAGCCTGTTGGGGAGCCAAAGCTCCTTGGATAGAGTATTAGAAGATTCAAACCCTATATTTCTCCTCAGCCCCCAGCCGCTTTAATGATAAATGAATTAATAGGTCTTTTTCAGGGACAATGCTAAAGCAATTCATCTACAAGTGGCTGGGGGGGAGGCAGGGGTGTGGGATTTTGCTAGCTTTACAGAATGGGATCACACGAAAAATATTTGTCTGCTTACTTAAGCCATATATGCAAATTCACTTGGAGGTAGTAAGAAGTTTTTGCAGGAGAGAAGTGTCTCCTATTGGCTGCACTAAAGGCCATACATACAGGGCTGTCTTTTTTTTACCATTTTCAGGTCAGCAAGGAACTCACAGAAAAAGTCATTCCTATGCTAATTCTGGTCAGCTATGCTGCTATAATAACACAGTTGTTCTTCTTTAGGATTCCAGTGTCATTAATATTCCCACAAATGGGAACATGGCTGCCACTTACATGACTGAGACATAGGCATAATATTTTGAGCTCTGCTTATGTTTCAGTAAAATGACAGCCAGTCTGCTCTAAGTTCCAGAACTGGCTGGTGAGATCAGTGAAGTCACTATTTCATCTATGCTATCTATGCAATAAATGGCTATTGCCATTTATTGTGAAGGATGTCCCGGGGGGAAATATACAAGCTCTTGCATAAGAATGTAAGATCTCTGCTGGATCAGACCAAAAGATCTAGTTCAGCATTCTGTTTCCCACAGAGTCCAACTACAGGAACCCCACAGGTAGGACATGACTCATATAAGACATATCATATTCCCAGCTTTGCAGCAAATGCCAGACCAAAAGAATAGGGAGCTATAATTTCTGTGTTCCCTGGGGGAAGTGCACCATGTGAGTGACCCACTGGCTGACACTAAAGTTTTCTCGTTGGAAGTGGAAGCAAGCCAGATGTACCTGGACTCAACACATAACTCATACACAACTCTAAGTCAAACCATGGCTTAGCATGAATGAGCAGGTTTCCAGACTGAAGATTGTGACTGCCGTGCTCCTCCCCATGCCTTGCTGAACTATGGTTTAGCTGTGTGTTACATCTGAACCCAAGCTTGTGTTTTGTCTTCCTCCACACAAGTGCTAAACAAATAATAATAAAAAAACATGGTTACAGCTCATGGTTTGTCTGGAGTGAGGCAAACCATAGCCCTGGGTCTGGCAACAACACACCAAACGTGGCTTAGCCTCAGGTAGTGTGGCTGCAGCAGGGTCAGCAGGATAGCACGGGGTAAAGATCTTCACTCAAACTAAGCCATCATTTGTATTAGTGGCATGTGCAAACTTGGTCATTTTGTTTAAGCTTAACTATTGTGTATGTGAACATGTCACCCCCGATTTAAATCTGAGCTTATTCATAAATACACTGACTTGGCTTTCACCAACCACTACTTCTCAATCCCATTCCACCTCACCCTGTAGCATGAAGTTACAAAGACGGACCTACCATAAAATATTATTTATTTACATAGTACCATCAGTGTCAGTGATACTTTACAGCAGGCTTCCTCAAACTTGGCCCTCCAGATGTTTTGAGACTACAATTCCCATCATCCCTGACCACTGGTCCTGCTAGCTAAGGATCATGGGAGTTGTAGGCCAAAAACATCTGGGGGGCTGAGTTTGAGGAAGCCTGCTTTACAGAGTACAAAAGGGCAGGTCCCTGCCTCAAGGAGCATACTATCTAAAATTTGGCACATGACATGGAAACAACAGAAGAAGGGGAAGGAATGAGAGGCAGAAGTAAATACATCTAGCCATTTCACGTGCACATTCTTACTTTCATAGTTAGAGGCTGAAGATTATTGTAAGAATTGCTGAGATGGGGGATGTGAAGCCATGTTTCTTAACCACAAAGGAAATGCTAAATTGTGCTTACTGTTATTAATGATTCATCCAATACAGCAAAAAAGAAAAGAAAAATGAAATGAAATGAGAAATCAGCACTTCAAAGTCCCTTCTGTTTCAACGGAAGGATCAATGGGGCTTAAATGTGCTAGATTGTGCCCTTAGTATGCAGACCTCCTCCCTTTCTGCTCCCAGTGACTGTTTCTGCCCCAAGGGTGAGCTGCTCAAACTGTTTCCCAACCCATCAACTCCAAGCTGGTCCAGACAGACTGCATTGTTATACGTCCTCATGTGCTGATAACAGCATTAATGTGTTTTAATAGCAAACATCTCTGGTTTCCAAGTCACCTTGGCTCTAAATGAGTCAGATAGAAGCTACCTGCCAGGACTGAAAGCCCATGTTGTTATTTCAGCTGTGACTCGAAGATAAGGCAGGTGGTAAACAGATCTCACTGGACAGCAGATTTGTTTGGAAAAATACATGTGCTTGTTCTTTTCGAAATTTTCAAGAGAGCTTGCCTTGCCCTTTTGACAACCTTTGTTCATCGCTGCACTCCCTTCTCCCTCCCCCCCTTCTCGTCTTCTTCTAAGCCAGTCAGCAGCAGCACAGTAGTTCCAAGTTTTTATTCCCATAACTATGTTCACCATGCTTTGGGACTATGTGCTTATCAATTGCAGGTGTCCTTATAGCCAGGTGCATTCTCTGGGTACAAAGGGAAGTGGGGCCAGTTGCCCCAGGCTGTCAAATTAGTGCTTGACAAACTATTTACAAGAAAGGATTGATTCCTCAGCTGAGCGTAGTGCTTGTAAGTTTTTCTGCAGACGGATCACAATTTCCACGAATGTGTCAGCTTTTTCTTTCTTCAAAAATTGCTTCTTTGGATGTTTCAGTTGCACATGATTGGGCCTGGCTCAGAAGTACTGGACATGGCAAGACTTGTTGCCGCTGAGGAGTTTGAGCTGCTGGGATTTTCAAGTTTTGCCCGGATAGGGGACTCTGGACACACAGGCTAAACTGGCACATAAAAAGCCACTGATCTAGGCAATCTAAAGAGAAACAATGAAATATGAGGTAGCATGGCTTGCAAATGGATGTCCTACTTTCTGAACACAGAATATAGCTGAGGCCTCATGCCACGAAATATTCCCTTATTTATGCAACATCATCTTAAAGCAGGAATGGGCAGCTTGTAGCCTTCCAAATTCTCTTGGACTCCAACTCCTATCAGCCCCAGCCAGCAGGGATGATAGGAGCTGTTATTTCTCTCATCCTTGTCTTAAAGATAGCCATCTCTTCTTGGGACATCAACACCCAGTGTAAACCTGTTCCAGTGGATGGAAGGCAAGAATTTTATTGGCTGGCATCTCAGCCAAGCCTGTAAAACTACACCAATCCGAAACCACTCAGGAGTTGGCAAATACCTATTCCTCAAAATGATGAATGACTTAGGTGAGGAGGGTGGGGGTGGGGGAAAAGAGATGTTACCTATTCTAGGACTCTAAATAAATTATTTAAACATGCAACCTGTTTATATCCTCTCCATATGAAAAATTAATGCACCACAGGCTCTTTTGTGTTTTCATGGTAAAATAAATCTATTTAGAAACTTTCCCCTCTTGAGGAACAAAAGAAAAGGGCTTTCTATTGCCAGTGTCAGAATTTCAACTATCAATCGTCCCCCTGTGCGGAAAGGGGACAGCTCTATTAATGAGTAGCCAGGTATTAACATAACAGAGCAGCCCCATTAATCTCCTGAGCACTGTAAGGTGCTGACAAAAATAAGCTGAAGCAAAGCTTTGTTGCTTTACTTTTTAATGGGGAAATGAAAGAGCAATTGCACCACCTCTGCTTCACAGCAGCTGAAGCCTGCCATAGATCCACACCAATGTGACTGAAAAAGCTCGGCTGGGTGTTTGAGCTCAGGAGGTGAAAATTAAACATGTAATGGCCCCTTCAGGTATCCACCCTTCAGCAAAGCAGCAGTGAAAGATCTGCTTGTTAACCGGTTGGTAATACTCTGCTGAGTAGCCACTTTGACTATGTCCACCCATTCATAAACTTCTGCAGGTGACATTCTAGTATACACTCATTCTACTGGTAGCAGACAGAAAATGCACCGGAAGAAGTGGTTGTGCATTGTGAGAAGGTCAAGGCTTGGCCACACTCATGCATGTATATCACTTGCTTCAACATTCGGCAGCTCACAACTAGTACATAAAGTCAGCCTACACAGAACTGTTGTTCTGTGACAGCTCATTCATACGTCTGACATTTATTTGTTAATTGCCAAGACCAAACCGGATGCCTTTGGCCAATGACCAAGGAACACCCTCATTTCCATCATTTACTGGTACAATAAATATTTCCGTCATTGACGTCAGAGCTTTCCATAAATAGAGATTCAGAATACAAGACACATCCATTTATTTTGTATCACATGCATGTTTGCAACAATTCTCCTCCTTTACCAAAAGGCTCTTGATCCCATGCTCCCTTCTGCAGAAATCACAGCCAGCTCTTGCTTTCATGAGCTGGGCCCCTTGGTCCTATGGAATGGAATAAGCTAGAGTGGCATGAGCCGTAGGGTGGTCTTAGGCAAGATTCAACTACAGTGGTACCTTGGTTCTCAAATTTAATCCGTTCCAAAACCAAAGTGCGCCGCTTCCCCATAGAAAATAATAAGAATAAGAATTTATTATTTATACCCCACCCATCTGGCTGAGTTTCCCCAGCCACTCTGGATGGCTTCCAACAAAATATTAAAAATACATTAAAACACCAGTCATTAAAAACTTCCCTAAACAGGGCTGCCTTCAGATGTCTTCTAAAAGTCAAATAGTTGTTTATTTCCTTGACATCTGATGGGAGGGCGTTCCATAGGGTGGGCGCCACTACCGAGAAGGCCCTCTGCCTGGTTCCCTGTAACTTTGTAATGCAAAATGGATTAATCCGTTCTGGACTTTTAAAAACCCCTTAAACAGCAATTTAACATGAATTTTACTATCTAATGATCCATAAAATGAAAGCAATAAACAATGTACTGTAGTTGCACAATCAATCAATCAATCAATCAGTAGCTGAACTGGGTTCCACACGGTCACAAAAAACCCCCGCAAAAACAAAAACGCAAAGTAAATAGCAAAAACAGACAGACCTCAGCGTTAACACTCAAAACGGAAGTGTGGCACTCAAAATGGAAGTGTAACACTCAAAACGGAGCATGTTCGGCTTCCGAAAAAGGTTCGCAAACCAGAACACTAACTTCCAGGTTTGGAGTGTTTGGGTTCTAAGTTGTTTGAGTACCAAGGCGTCTGAGAACCAAGGTACTGCTGTAACTGATCCTACCAGGAGTGCCATGACTTCCTCTAGCACCATGAGGCTCCCCTCTTCTCCCTCTGCACCCTCATTTACTTAGGGAGGGGGATCAGGAGAACCCTCAGAACAGCACACATGGGAGGAAAGGGGAGAACATTCCATCAGGCAAACAGAAATGCTTGCACTGACAGAACATTTGACAGCATGAGGGTGAATTCCTATGCATATGTCCTGTTTTACAGACCAGGGCTGTCTGGTCCAAGCCTGGGTTAAAGATTAAAAAAAACACACGAAATAAAGGAGACCAGCAGGAAACTTAAATTGGGCCATCAGCCATGAGTAGGGACACAACTGATCACCTGATCACCTGGCCTTCCCTTGTGTTTCTATTTAAATTTTGGCAATTATTTCTAAAATTGCAACGGTACACATAAATTACCAATTATGCAAATTGATGCCTTTGCTCGCCCTCTCTTTTTTTGGTAAGACGTAAGCAGCCACTCTCAGCAGCAGCAACTCTGTACTATTACTGCAGCTGAAGTGCCAGCCTTATTCCTGGAAAGTATGGCAAAACCTACTGGGCATGGGCCTAGGCTGCCAGGAAATGGAGGTCACCAACATGGCACCTGCGGGCACATGTATTGCCGCAGAGGTCTTCCCTAGCATTCATAGGGTCCCCTCCCCTCTCTAAAATTAAACTTGAAAGAAGCATTCCATTGTAGCCAGTAGAATAGATTGAGAGGTGTTGGTACCCATGACTGTTTCCAAATGTGCCCATGGATTCCAGAAGGTTGGTGATCTCATCTGCTTTCCCTTACAATAAGCAATATCCGTCCTCCATGCTGCCTGTGTGCCAGAGAAGCCCAGTGGGTGCAGCACAACGTCCTTTATTTAAAAATAACTACTTTGCTGGATCAGACAAATATCTCCCTAGCCAAGTCAACAGTGGCTCCCTGGATACATCTAGTTGATCAGAAGAAGGGCATGCAGGCAATAACTATATTATATACCTTTACTTGTCCTCCGCTTCGCTATTCAGAAGTATACAAGGAGTTTCCATTTAGCTATTAGTGCTAATAGCAATGGATTGACCTCTCTTCAGAGAGTTTACCCGTCTCTTCTAAAAAGCCATTTAAGAGCCAAAGTGCATGTTACACACAAACAAGCACAATAGAACTCCAATGGCTATTGGAAAAGAGCTTTGGGAAGGGTCAATTTGTAGCAGAGAAACTGTGCCAGAGAGGGAACACGTAATCTACCTTCTGCTTCTCTCTCTCCCATTCCCTTCTTCCCAATGGGGAGTGGGAGGCATGTTCTGCATGTAATGCGTACCTTGGCGTTAAACTACTGGGCATCATGACATCATCTTGTAGCAGTCAATTTTCTCTGCTAGTTCTGCACTGCACTGGCATCACCAGAGCTGCACTAAAGGCTGTGGGATAAATCAGCTTCATACAACCAACATGCTTAACTCTAATTAATGCATGAAGGGGTTAATACCATAAAATAAGCTGTCCTACCAGGCTTAGCTAAGTCACTCCCCCTCACCTTGGGAGGAAGGTCACCAAAGTCTTTGTTCTTTCTTTTTTCCAGCATGTGAACCCTACCAGGAAGGAGGTCTGGCCTGGTTGCTCCAAGCCCAGAACACATGACTTAAGCAAGCCATATTCGTGTTTCTATATAAATAATTTAGAAACACTTACCAGTTTTGAAACTAAGTTAAATTGCCTGTCTTTTCTTGCTGCTTTATGGAAAAGCACATGAATCTGACCTTCAAAGAGTTTGTAAGTAAACCATTTTAAACTTGCCAAATGAGTGGTCTCTTTTGGTGCTAAGGAGAAGTGGGGAGCTTTGGAAGCAACTTAGAAGGGGAGCTATTCTCACATTTCCTCTATTTCTCATCCTATGGGCTCTCTTAGTAGCTCAGTGTACTCAGATTCCCTCTCTACAGTGATGGGGAACTTCAGGCCCAGGCCCCAAATGCATCCCTCCAGGCTGCTCTATCTGGTCCTCAGTATTCTCCACAGATCCTGCCTCCTCCCCAGGCCACACACCTCTCTAGCCCTGCTCCCCTACCCCCTCCAGTCCTTTTGTTTGAGCAAGTCCTTGAATTACGCCTACCATCCTGTCTGTACTTGAAGTCATTGAGAGGGTAACAGCAGGAGGGGGCTAATTCTGGAGTTGACAGTATTTAGGCTTTAGGCTTCCTTATGGATGGAAAAGGAAACCATGTTCCCTCTCTGGCTGGGTACACCACATACATTTAAAGCGTACAAACACACACACACACACACACACACACACACACACGAATCCTGGGAAGTGTATTTTGTTAAGTGTACTAGCAGAGCTGGCCCACACATGAGGCAAGGTGAGGCGAATGCCTCAGGCAGCAAGATCCACAGGCTCGGCAGAGCTGGCTTCCAAGGAATGCATCGCCCACTGCTGCCGCCACGGTGGCTGCGACAGCTGCAGCACAGTCACTGGAGGCCAGATCTGCCCACCTTCATATGCTGCCTCTACAGCATCCTCTTGGCAGATAAGAGGTGCTGTTGGTCTCCTCCTACCTTTGCTGCTGATGTAGACCTTCGCTTACCCGTTCTTCCCGGGGTGGGGTGGGGGGCACCATTTTGTGGTTCACCTCAGTTGCCAAAATGTCTTTGGGACATTTCCCTGGGTGCTGGGAATTGAAGCTCCATGAAGGGTGAACTATAGTTCCCAGGATTCTTTGGCATTGAAAATGTGCTTTAAATGTATGGTGTGTGTGCAGCATCTATCCACAACTCTATGAGGCCTTGTAGCAAAAAGGAGAACATTCAGCATCTAAGATGAGGTTTCTGAATTGATATATGAGCAAGAGCCTCTCTCTGTGTCTCTCTGACACACACACACACACACACACACACACACACACACACTTCCCCCTTGTGTCTCTCTCTGTCTCCCAAGGCCCTCTGCTTCCCCCCTCGTTACTTATTTATTGCATTTAGAAACATTTTCAGCTGACTCTGCACTTGCTGCTTTGGTACACCTTGTCCTCTACGATGCGTCTCATACATTTTAAAGACAATTTTATTAAAAAATAATAATAAAACAGGTGAGTTAAATAATACCCTGTCCAGTCTTGGACTCAGAAAAGGGAGATTTAGGTGAGATGCAAGCTCTGGACTATGAGGGAAGGTGACTGAGAAATTCTTGCTTTCTTCAATGGCATCTATTACGGATCATCAGATAAAAGTGTAAATTTGGCAGAAGGCAGGCAAAAAAAGAGGGGATGGGAGGGGGGGAAGCCCCTTCGATTAGGTTACTATTTAAGTTTTATGAACCTTTCACCCCTGGCTAGGACAAGAGGCTAGGGTGATGAGTGAGCCTGTCATTGTTCATTTAATATCCTCATATACTTAGGTGTTATTAGTTTGCTCTGTGACCCTCATCAAGTAAGGGATGAAACCTGATGTAAACACCATGGCAGTCGGCCTCTATGAAATGTGCTTAGAACAAGACTTCTTCCGGCTGAGGGGCAGACACTCTAACAGAGCAGTCCAAAGGAATTAGGAGTTTCTTCCGCCTTTGACTTTCTTTCTACTAAGTCCAAAGCCCTGCTGGGATTGCACAAGCACACTGGAGAAGGGGAAGGCGGCATTTCTCGACTTACTTTCTTCTTTTAAGAAGCAAGAAAGCATAAGAAGAGACTTACTGGATCAGACCAAAGGTCCATCTAGTTCTGCTGGTTGGCCATGGGAAGCCTGTGAGCAACATCACTCTTTCTGCTTGCGATTCCTAGCAACTGGTATTCAGAAGCAGCTTGCCTCCAACGGAGTAGCCACTGAGAGCCTTTATCCTCCAAGGATTTTGTCTAATCCTTTTAAAGGCATCCAAGTAAGCCTGGATATGGAGGTGGGTTTCCAGGAAGTTGCGTTTCCCTCACCTCAAGATTTATCCTCCCATTGATCCCAATGGGAGGCAAAATCAGTAGGCCATCTCCATTTCAGAAGCATGTTAGAGGAATGGCAGGGCTCTGAATCTGGCAGATCCATAGCTTTGCCTGATCCCCTGAGACACAGTACAGGAAGGAACACCTCCTTTTCGTCATCTCCATATAGATTACCATGGCTGCAAGGCGTTATCCATGGAGCCGGAGATCTGCAAAATCCTGCGGTCCCTGGGGAAACCCACCAGGAAACAGAGGATTGCATCCTAAAGCTAGCTAATTTTCCCCCTGGTCATTAAGTGTCGACACTTATTATTTACATTGACACCCCAATCCCTCCCCCCCCCCAAAGAGCAGCATCTATGCTTCCCCGTTTTATGAGCTCAGCAACCCTGTGAGATAGGGTAACTACATCATTTGCTGAAATCCCCTCTTCTACACAACTTCTTAAGACGCATAAGCCCTGTTCTCTTTTGCATCTGGTTGAGAGATAGTGGCTAACCTAGAGGTGTAAATTTTTTGGAAAAACTGAAGCCATAGGAAATGTTTGCCCCACCACAATTTCCAGAAAATAAATGGAAAAATGGAGGGAGTAAAAATACACGTTACTTAGGATTCTCTTATCAGTTATAAACTTACATTTACTATGTCAAGAACATAAAATATTTTATGTATAACTTAGTTAGCAAACAGTAAAAATTTATGTGCTGTAATTTAAAACTAAAAATGCTTTCAGTTTTATTCAAACCATAATTACAAATATGTCCAATGTTAGAAATGGAGCAGCAAGCTGCTGCCCCATAAGGTGCCAAATATACCTTGTTTTTTTTCCAGTTGGGAAAAACACAGAGGATAAATATAGCAGTAAAGAAAGAAATCGGTTTTTATTTGGGCTCTGAAAACGTCTAAACCACCAGTTTTATCAAGAACAGGGCTGGGAGAAACCAATACTGTACAACCTCGACCCCCTGCAATTCCATGATGGAAAAGTAGGCATGGCTACATATACCATAAGCAACCATTCCTCTTTCAAAGTTTTTCAAAGTCTCTTAAAAAGAAGTGATGTGTCTGCAGACCTGTCACCCTCCAGATGCAGTTGGACTCCAACTCCCATCAGTCCCTGACTGCACAGCCAATGCTCAGGGATGATGGAAGTTGTAGTCCAGCAACAACTGGAAGAAACCAGATTGGGAAAGGTTGCTCTGGTTTTCTGCTTGCTCTGCTCCTTTCCCAGGGAAACCATGCTCTTTCGGAACAAGCGGCAATCCACAAGAAAGAAAAAAACCTGTTCTTTGCTCCGACTGAGCACTAAGGAGCGGTTTTCCCTGGGGCTGGGCTGGGCTGGGAAGCAGCAGCAACAAGAGGAAATGTGGATAAGCTTTTATACTAGGCTAGACTCCTCAGTTACCTCTTGACATCACAATATTGCAACTCTGTGGACAGGAGACAAAGTCAGAGAAACAAGGAGTGTGGCCATTTGTAATGATGAAACAGGACTTCATAAATAAAACCTGTTAGGAGTAAAGAGAAACAAGTGACAAACGGCTCTTGGTAATAGGAGATCCTTACAGATGAAAAGTTGTAAGCAACAGCAAGGAGGAGGAGGTAGTCGGGCTTCTTGGCTGGAATATAAGTCCTACCAAGAGAAGGAAGTGAGGATGTGCAGTCTCAATGAAACCATGATTGAGGGAGGAAAGGATAACACTTTTCAAATAAAAAGCTGTCATAATGAAGATGGAAAATGGCTGTGTGGCCGAGCAAAGAACAAGAAGGAATTGATTTAAGTTGTGGTGTGGTCAATTTAGATTAAATATTAGGGTTGAGAACAAACTTTCAAACTGCCGGAAACTGTTGAACAAGCTATCTAGGGGAGTTGCAGAAATCATCTCCTCTGAAAGTTGTAAAGGCAAAGTTCTCATCCATATCCCAAAAATGGAGTCGAAGCCAGAGGGCACGAGCAGCCAGGGACCTATACTCATGAAATGAATTGGGGTGTGGGTGTCAAATTAAAGCACAACACATATAGAGCTGTAGGGGTATGATTGTAAAGATTGCTGAGATACTATAGCCCTGTGCACAGTGGAGGTTGGTCCATTGGAATGAATGGTGCCTTGCCCCAGAACGTCAGACGTTCCCACAAATATATGAGAAGAGGCCACAAACAATGGGTATTTTTTAATTCCCCATGAGGCTGCAAATAGAGACGCTGTTGACATGTAATGGGAAGCCAAACCAGGGCTTAGCTCTGTGTAATACAGTGGCAGCAGGACTGGAGAAGAAGTGGCCACAATTTCTGCTCTATGTTCATGCTAAGCAATAATTTGGTTTAGAGTTATGTGCAAAGCATCATAAACTTTATGTAGTGCCATCATGTTCTAGGAGCATCTCTCACCTTGGTGTGTGAGCTCCTGAATTCCCAGATAAACCCATAATCTGGGGGAGAAAGGAAGGCACTTTTCCTGGGAATGGTGGAGTATATACCCTGCTTGGAGAAGATAGCAAGTTCAAGTCCTGGTCTCTCTAATTAAAAATACTGTAGCAGACACAACAGGAAAGGCAAATAAATGTCCATGGAGGACCTTAAAAATAAGAGTAGAGTAGGGACAGCCTTCTTGAAGCATACACGGTAGATGGAAGGAGCAAAGTAGAGCAGTGAATCAAAACTCACTGACCACTACAGCTGCCAAATGCATTACATCCAAGCTGAGTGAAAAAGCAAACACCTTACATATTTGCATCCACATCTGTACATTTCCAGACTGTTGCTCTTTTGGGGTGGAAGTCCACCACATACAGCAAATTCAGAATTTATACTTGATTGTAAGGCCTTGTGCAACAAATCCAATTCCCAAAGCAGCCAGTCTCTTTGCAATAAGGAAAGTGATGGGAAACGCCCTGGAAAGTGTGGGACAACACTCACTTTGATGCAAGGTCATCTAACCTTGCTGCAAAGAAATCAGAACAAATGCTAATTAAATATTCAACATTATCTAATCTCCCTGCAAACAAATCAGCAAAATGCTCAATAAACAGATTGGCTAGAAGCACCCTTAGTGTATCTTTAGTTTCAGGTTGACCTTTGGCCAGTTATCAGAGAATCTAAATTGTATTAAATCTAAGCACTACTGCCTCCATGATTTGAGGGATCTTGGCCATAGAAGTCACTGCCCTGGAAGGGGAATTGTTTGGCTGCTGCTTGGGCAATTTGACTGCTAGCAAGACCTCCAGAAAAGCCAGTGTTGGGGATGGTTTTTGCTGGCTGGAGGTTGATGAGGTGCCTGTCTTTGATGAGAAGGTGCTTAGTATGCTGCAAGCTCCCTCTTGGCGTTTCTCATTTCATTTTGAGTAATCAATTGGGCTGCTTCGGAGAGGCTGTTTACGACCTGTAATTTGTATAATTTGATTTGACAGTAATTCCATTGTCGTTACATTTATTTACAAGATGCGTTCTTGCCCTGTGATTTGCTCAGTTCTTATCGGTGGTTATCTTTGCTTTTCCAATCATGGTTTTTCATAACCGTTGATTACTTTTTAATTCAGAGAAACCACAATGGAAGGACACAGGTAAGGCAAGCCCTTCGTTCTTTTTTCCATTCCTTTAGGGCAGAGATTTGGATGTATGTTTGCTTGCTTTACAGTAAGGCCTGGTCAAATAGGACAGGTCATCACATAGTAAAACTCCTCCGGAGCTATACCACTCCAGAGGGCTAGCATATTTGAATGGGGTGGGGAAAACCTCTATGTAGAAAGTTAGCAAGTCTGGCAGAAGGCTAGGCAAGAACCCTCTCGCTTAACATCTAGCTTTCTATGAAAAGGGCAGCCTCCCACAAACAAATGCCCTCCAGATGTTTTAGACTCCAATGCCTATCATCCCTGACCATCAGCCATGCTGGCTCGATCTGATGGGAGTCCAATAACATCTAGAGGCCATGAGGTTGGGGATGGGTGATACAGCAAGTAATTGCTAATTTGGAGCAACATCCAATCATGCTATCCGCCCCCCCCCCCCACACTTTTAGGTTCAAGCAAAACAGTCCTAGAAAAACAGTCTCCCTATGTTGTAAGTTGTTTCTGTTTAGCAAGCTTAGATCCTGAAAGAATTCGGAGGAACTAGCTAAGTAAAAGTAAACGTGGTTGAAGGCCAGACTAGATGGTATGCTATCTCCGTATCTGTGCCCTTAAATGCAGGGTTGTTCTTCTAACAACATAAATTACCAGCATTGTGGATGTGTGTAAGTGTGCTTCAACACTTTCCCCTCCCCTTCCCATGGCACTGATTTGGGCTGGGAGCCCTGTACTGAGAATTTGCTTCGATGGAAGCTTCCTGCCCCTATGCAAATTGTCAATATTGCAGATATTAATATTGTGCAGCTTGAAGTGACTAGAGGCATAAAAACGGACTCCGTTTGGAATTAAACATGGACTAAACCCATTAGAGGGGACGCGGGTGGCGCTGTGGGTTAAACCACAGAGCCTAGGACTTGCCGATCAGAAGGTTGCGGTTTCAAATCCCTTTACTTTCAAAAATGTAACTTAGAAGAATATATTTACAATCTCATGCCTGGGTTTCTCCTATTAACATTTAGGGATGTCCTCTGTCTGTTTCACTTCAGACAGATCACACTAACACACATTGTCCTCAGCAGTATCTTGAGAAACCTCTCACAGCGGCATTAGCCCTCACACGCACACAGAGAGAACAGAAAGCAGTTAAAAACGACAGTTACTTTAATAACAGTCACAACAGAACAGAATGGCTCTCTCATGTGACTCACAGTCAGCCAATCACAGGAGACCTTCTATCAAAGGGGGGAAAAACCATGCTAAAAATACACAGCAATTCAACATAAGCAAACATTCCTGTTTCAGAAAATCAAACCATTATCCTTAACAGGTGTCCAATATGTTAACTCTTTCTCCCGCAATTGAGGACACAGACACAGAACTAATGTGTATGGTCTAGTTTGGTCAAAAGGAAGGAACACTCTGCCTTTTAAAGACCTGTCATATGTATAGTGCATAAGACCTGCTAGCCTATATCAGATCAAAAGTTCAGTTAGTTCAGTAGGCTGCCTATGCATGCATTGCAGGATGATGAACATCACCCTGCCCCTCAACCAACTTGCCTCTCAACGCACACAACTCCTGCAAGTTCCTAATTGTGAGATATTCCTGGCGCTCACAGAGCTAAGTATAGTGTTCCTGCCTTTTCCAATCCTTTCTCACCTTCTGAAAAACCTTGATTTGCTGTATTCACCATTTTTTAAAGGGGTCGGGGGAAGATTTCTCCCATCTGCCATCCTACTTGTGTTACTGCGTTACAACAACCAATAAAGTAGCACCTTTCTCCAATATTTTAACAAATGGAAATATTTTTGTCTTTGAGTCCAGATGCACAGATTGTTCCTTCCTGGGAATGGAACTTGCACTTTTGTTGATGTTCAGGCACACAACTTGCCAAGCACTTTAAGCGTCAGAAAGACATGTACTTGAAGAATGAAAGGAGAGACCATTAACTTTCCTGGCATCAAACACAGATTTTTTTAAAAAAAGTTAAACATCTATATTTGGGTCCTAATGTATACACTACTACTGAAGGTATAAGAACAAAATTGTTTACATGTCACCCAGAGACATTCTCTTGTACAAAGCCTGCATGTAGCATATGAAACACACTCCAAAGTGACTCTGAAACATTAGCAGAGCCCTAAAAGCTTAAATGCTGTTCTGGAGAACCACAAATTACCCCATGTTAGCCTTCAGTAACTCTCAATATGAATTCAGCTTTCCACAGAGGAGTCTCAGTCAACTCTATAACAAAACCTCCTCAAAACAACTATCTATTATCCAGTGATTGCCAAGCTGGAATTCTGAGATGGTCCTAAAGGCACTAGTCAGAAAATGGCTGCTGCCATCACAAAATGGCTGCCACCACCAAAAGAGTATGTATGACAGAAAAAGGGACCAGAACATAAAATGGTTCAAATATGGAAAATAAAAAACCTATTCTGATTTTTTTAAAAAACAAAACATATTTGAAAAACTTTCTTCTTTTCCATATACTGTTAAGTCTTGGCTGTTATGCAGTTTTTCCCCCAGTGTGTCATTTGGAGCTAGAAAATAAAAGGTATCTGAATCCAGGTACAATTTTGAATTGCTACAGCCAGCCATACGCATGCATATGATTCTATGGAATAAAAATACATATTCATGCTGGCAATATGGTTTTTTAAACTACATTTGTGGAAGAAAAAGAAGAACATAAATACAATGAAAACACACAGAAAATACTCACTGGAGTAGTAGCTGAACAATTCTGGCCCAGAGTAGTGTGAAGTTTGAGGCTGAACGTCATCTACAAGCTTCTCAAAACTCAGTATGAGGAGGCAATAACAATACTTGTAATGTTTCTGCATTTCCATTGAGCTCTCCCCTGCCTCCAAAAGACAACCTTGGAGCAATCCCTGCTGTGGGGCAAGCAGCAGAAACAAAAAAATGAAAAGAAAAAGGGATGCCCTGCCCTCTCACTCACAGCCCCACCCCTGTGTTCAATGGAAGCCTCTCCCAAGCAGCTGCCTGCTCCATGTACCAGTAGGTAGCAAAACAAGACACAGCATGAGTGGGAAGATTCCTGCATTTGTTTCCTCACCTCAACATTTTCCAAAAGTTCCTCAAGCAGCTGTCTGCCCAGTGTTCCACATGGCCAGAAGGCAGCAAAATGAAGGTTTCCTGTGCTTCTTCCACTACCTCAACATACTTTGGGTTTTTTTAAAGGCTTGTCAAGAAGCTGACTGCCACCTGCTCCATATCAGGGAGGAAAACAAAACAGGTGGAGCCAAGGAATAGGAAGTAAGAAAGAAGCAGGGGAAGTGCAATAAAGAGAGGAAAACAACTCTTTAGAACCCCTGGGATTCCTTTCCCTGGATGTCCAAACAACTCACTTATCAATCACAGCTATGACTTCACTCATTGGCTAAAAACACTGACAGGTGAGAGGAGCAGGGCTGCTACATTTCACAGAAATTGTTTGGAAGAGTACCTGCACATTTTGCTTCATAACCCTTTTTCTAGGAGGGCTACTTTTTAAAACAAGAAAACTCGGAATCTGGGGCTTCTGCCTGAGGGTGCCAATGAAGGCTTCCTGGGCACCATGGCACCCAAGGGCCACTATGTTGGCAACTTCCAAATTAACCCAAATGTCCCCTTTATGGTCATATTAGCAAGGCCAGTCCAGCCATTAGATGAAGTGAGGTGGCTGTCTCAGGCAGTGGATGACAGGGGCAGGGTGTGTGGCAAAGTGCTGGAGAGCAGAGTGGGGTGTAAGCTAGCCTCTTTCTCCAGTATTGAAATAAGGTTCAACTCCCCAGCTGGTTGGTTTCTGTACAAGGAATGGGATCAGTGGCCTCAGGCCGCAAAGTGTTTTGGACCAGCCCTGCATATTAGCCATCTGACTATATTCACATCATTTGACATAAAACGATAGATTAAATGAGTGAAAGAATTCTTTTCAACAGACAAAGAGAAGACTTCAGCCTTAGAGTAGGCAATTCTGCACCCAACAAAAGGAAAGGAAGTGTCTTGCAACTACTAGGAAGACCAGAAAACTACCAGAAAACGGCACCACTTCCATCATCAGCACACAAGGAGCTAAATATGCAGTTTCTCCTAGGCATGTGGTGTGCAATGAAGAAAAGCCTTAAGAAAGCAGCTGTCAAACAATGGTTCCCAATGATGACGGGGTGCTGAGTCTGATGGACATTGCACAACGGTTGCTGTTATTCCATATTGCTTCCTGTTTTGTGGATTAAGTGTCAAACAGAGAGCCACCTTCACCAACCGCCTATTATAATCACACCTGGCATTGTTGACCTACTTCCCTTCTTTCATGCCTTCACAGGGTCTACCTTTTCAGACATAGGAAAGAAACTCAATAAGGGCTAAACCAGACATTTTACACATCTTATTTTTTCTGTTTAAAATTATAGGTGGGTGGGCAGTGGGTCGGGGTGGGGGAAGAGGCAATTCTTGGAAGGAGGTGGTACACAGGATGAGGGAATACTTCTCTCATCATTCACCCACCATGATCAGAATGAGTTTCTCTCTCTCTCACACACACACACACACAGAGAGAGAGAGAGAGAGAGAGAGAGAATGGCTAAAAGGCATAGGGGAAAAGGTGTTCTTTGGTATCAACGGTGAGAAGCCAAATTGTATTTTTTTTAAAAAACAACAACACTCATTTGAGGATGGGGGCATTTTGAAGTGAGGAACATTTTGCCCTGCAGAGCACTATTAGGGGTTTATTGATTTATGGGGGCAGCTAGGGGGAAGAAGACTTCCATACCTACATTCTAGGACCACTTTGGAAAATGTCCAATACATTAAAAACATAATACAAGCCTGCTGACCACACCCAACCTCTCTCACCAGCAAGGCAATACAACAAGTGAATAGTAAGAGAATCCATACAAGTAACACTGACACAACCCCTCACACACACTTAAGTAGAATAATAGAAGCATAACCACCCGACCCCAACCCCCTTTCTTTTCTTCTTCTTCCTAATTGTTTAAACCAGTTCTTAAACCAAGGACTTATACATTGACCACTAATAATAAAACATGTTGTAGATATTTTTCCACATTTATTTTGCTATTTTTGTGATATACAAATGACATGAGAAAACTTGGTATACTTGTTTGTATAACATTATTCTTGTTTATAAAACCCAATAAAATAATAATAATAATAATAATAATAATAATAATAATAATAATACAAGCCAATGGCCAATCTAGTTTAGCACCCTGTTCTCACAAATACCTGTGGGAAGCCTGTAAGCTGGTCATGAGTGCAACAACCTTCTGCCCACCTGTGATTCCCTGCGACCAGTATTCGGAGGCATAACGCAGTGCTGAGCTACCACGTTACAGTCCACTACTCTCAGCAAAGGTCTACATGTACAATATGTACAGCCACTGTTGACTTCATGTGCCACCTTTTGGAGGGCATTCATTCAGTTTTCAACAAGCAACCAGCTTGTTACCCAACAAGCAACCAGCATTTTCAAAGCTGTGCCAACCATTTGTGTGTGCATTGTATCCACACAAGCCTCAGCGAGCTCTGCTCACATATTCTCAAGTGCTCACTGTGGAGTTTTCACTCTGCACAGCACTTTTTGTCATACTGAAAACATTCTTCAGTGGAAGAGGGAATAGCATTTCACCAGCGGAGTGTTACAATGATTGAGTGTTGAGCATTACGTTATGATGATAACGAAACCTGCGCTAATGCTAAGGTCCTGTTAACATTTAGAAATGCAGAGAAAAATCAAAGGGCTAGTTTTAGAGTGGAAATATAAATGGCCACCTCGATGCAAAGACACACAGTGAGAGCACACACACTACTTGTCTCTGCAGTGCCTCATACGTGCTCAAAAGATGGATGGCACACACCAAAGTAACTACAAGGACAAACACAATAAGTGATGCCATAATAGCAGAGAAGCCCTTGGTGACTGAAACGTACAAGGCATTTTTATCTTTCATAATAGCGAAGAACTCACATATTAGTGATGAATACCAAAGAAATTGCTATGATAAATATACTAATACAAATGTCTCACCTGCCACTCGGGAATGGGAAAGCAGGTGGCAGGGTAGCTAAACTATCTGTAGATGGAGCAGCTGAGCCAAAATGATAAGTTTGCACATCCCACAGCCATCTCAAAGACACAGAATACTGGATTTCATTCCTTCCTAAAGGTCAGTCTCAATCAACTCACGGGGCTTTTGCACAGGAGAAGTGTGATCCAGAGTGGCGCTGGGATGCGGGTGGCGCTGTGGGTAAAACCTCAGTGCCTAGGACTTGCCGATCGTATGGTCGGCGGTTCGAATCCCCGCGGCAGGGTGAGCTCCCGTCGTTCGGTCCCAACTCCTGCCCACCTAGCAGTTCGAAAGCACTCTTAAGTGCAAGTAGATAAATAGGTACCGCTTTATAGCGGGAAGGTAACGGCGTTTTCGTGTGCTGCGCTGGTGCTGGCTCGCCAGCTGCAGCTTCGTCACGCTGGCCACGTGACCCGGAAGTATCTTCGGACGGCGCCGGCTCACGGCCTATAGAGCGAGATGAGCACGCAACCCTAGAGTCGGACACGACTGGCCCGTACGGGCAGGGGTACCTTTACCTTTATTATGCTTTATGGAATGCGGGTGGCGCTGTGGGTTAAACCACAGAGCCTAGGGCTTGCCGATCAGGAGGTCAACGGTTCAAATACCCGCAACGGGGTGAGCTCCCATTGCATGGTCCCTGCTCCTGCCAACCTAGCAGTTTGAAAGCACATCAAAAGTAGATAAATAGGTACCGCTCCAGTGGGAAGGTAAACGCCATTTCCGTGTGCTGCTCTGGTTCGCCAGAAGCGGCTTAGTCATGCTGGCCACATGGCGCGGAAGCTGTATGCTGGCTCCCTCGGCTACTAAAGCGAAATGAGCGCCGCAACCCCAGAGTCGTCCGCGACTGGACCTAATGGTCAGGGGTCCCTTTACCTTTTCTTTTATTATGCTTTATATATTCTGTTAGCTGCCCAGAGTGGCTGGAGAAACCCAGCTAAACAGGCGGAGTATAATAATAATAATAATAATAATTCCCTCCCACTGAAGTGAATGGGAAAACCCATGTGCATGGGAACACCATGTAGACATGAGACTAAATGCACTGCTCTTCACCATGGGGGTTACTGTGATTTTGTGGGAAATGCATTCGCCTAGCAGCAATTTCTATTTGTCCTTGGAGATTTCCATGACTCACATGGAGAAGTGGCAGGTACCTGATATCTGCCCAAAGAAAGACATGGGTCCCTCTAGCTGACATTTGTCTCTGTTATCTGAGCCTCGTGCAGTGGGTTGAGCATAGAGAGTGGCCCTTATACTGAGCACTGGCTCAGCTCCCAATATCTGATCTGCTCTTGATGGCCGTGGCTCTCTGAGGCTGCAAGAGACATCTGTTACTTGAGATCCTTGTATCTGGAAATGCCTGGAATTGAACCTGGGACCTTGTGCATACCGAGTGTTTGCTCTACCTTACAGCTGTGGTGATCCAGGCATGGCCAAAAGCAGCCTAATGCTGGTAGAAGACAATGTAGGCCCAGTGGGAGGACATGTCATGTTGTAGGTGAGAATAGTCCCTGTGCCAGCACTTGATGTCCCTTCTCAATTTACTTGGCCTCTCGCACAGACATTTATTTCTTCTTATTGCACCTCTGAGTCCAAGCTGGCTCCTTCAATAGGTTAAAGACACACACACACACACACACACACACAAATTTAAAATGAAATAAAAACAAATTATGAGAAGCCATTTCCCTGAAGGTGATCCCACAGATGACTGGAGCAGCATCTAACCCATTGAATTAAGCAAGTAATTTCAA